GTCCTTCATCTTATTTAAATATGCATGGGTCTGTGTGACAGGCTCCTTCATTACATATCTTTGGGCCCCAGGCAAAAACATTCCTCTTCTCGCACACCTTTGGCTAATGAAACAATCTATTGCCTTTTAAACTTTGTACGAGGGGGGGGGGTTATTGTTTCTGTTTGTTGCTGTGTTATGTATGTTTGTGTTTTTATGTTGTAAACCACCCAGTGATCTTTTGAAGGGCAGTATAGAAATTTAATTAATAATAGTAATAATATAGGGGCCCTTTTCAGAAGGTGATATGCATTACTTCATTTATTCCACATCATGGGAAGTAGTCTGCTGTGTTTGAAAGCCTTCCTAATTATTCTGCTGAGTCTTGCTCCGAGTTTAGCACCTGTAAACAGCATATAAATCAAATCAAGCTCCCCTGCTCAGACTTCAGTTTTGTTAAGACTTTGCTTATGTTTTTCAGAACAGGTTTTGTTTTCTTTTGAAGTTTTACATTAAAAGTGAAACCTCATGCAACAATTGAAATGTTGCTGTATCCAAAATATGATATTGCCCTACAGTGTGTCATGGCTATTCTTTTCTGTCCCTCCTGATCAATTTTCCTTGTTATGTTCAGCTCCATCAAAGCTTGATAATCTGACTGAACTATTAAATGTATTGGCAGTGAAGATCTAATGCAATCTCTTCAAACATCAACTACTTAAGACACTTCTAAATTGTACTTTCTGTGCCCTTTAGGAAAAGGGCATTGCATGTGAAAGATTCAAGCACATGTAGTCAGAGACCTTTAAAAATAATATCAACAGTGAACCAGCAATTCCTTTTCTTGTCCATATAAGTACAGCAACACCACAGAAGAAATCCTTATCTCTTTCTTAAACTCAGCAATACTTATTATGTATTTTGCATATGTTGTGTTCATTTCTGGGGGTTTTAGGCAAAGCTAACATTGTGATTAGAGGAGTCCACTTATCTTCACAATATTATGCTTTATCATGGTTGGTAAACATAACCAATCTTCATTTGTGGTTTTCACACATTTCAGAAATATCTTCAAAGCCTTGTAAATTAAAGGATACAAATTACTTGGAGAATACATTAATCTATAATTAAACACAATGAAGTAATATTAACAATATTATATTAAAAGCATGCACACAGCAAAATGACACTCCTTACCAATTAACAGAAAGTTCTCTGTTTCCTTTTCTCAAATAGCGCTAACAAATTCTGTCTAGCATCTTCCTTTGGACCCAGTGGACCACAAATAGAGCTCTGCTTGTGTAGCGGGGCTTGCTTTGCATTTCCTTCCCACCCCACCCTTTTGCATCCACTTAAAACACCACTTCTGAGGAGGCTGCAGCAGCACCACAGGGAAGTGGCCAGGGTTCACATAGGCTGTGTTCCATAAGCAGAAAGTGCCTTTCTCTTGGCAGAAGACATGTTTGAATTAAAGTCATTGGCTTCCAAACTATCTTTAAAAGCACCTGCTCTCCTAAACTGGACTCCAACTGCAGTTGTTAGAGTAACAATTCATTATCAGATTTCGAAGAACCAAATTGCTATCCGTTTTTTAAAATAAGCAGTTATACCTCTTTGTCTTATCTAAAACTGCTTCTTACTGATCATGTAGGTAGAAGATACATGGTTTTCGATATGTTGCTTTTTTATTTTACTAGACCCCCTTCTAGGTGACCAAGGCTTCTATCAGAGTACTACTCTGAGGACAAGGAGAGTGCAGTAAATAAGATAGTACTGATTCAGACTGCCAGCCCATTTTTATAATATCTGAGAACTTTCCTCCACAGAGCCCAATGAAAACCTTAATAAATTCAATGCTGTATATTTGTGTTGACAGACTGACTTCAGGGAACAAAATGTACTTACTGGCTTGTATGTCTTACTTTTTCTTCAGCATTGTCACACTGATTGATGCAGGACTGCACAAGCTGGTTGCTCTTCTGGATCATTCTTTAATATGTGACTCAATCACTGCCATTGCTTAATCTGTCAAAGCCTGCTGGTGTAATATGCGTCCTTTCATTACCCCCCTCCTATACCTGTAGTCATACAAATGAAAACATCACAGTGAATCAATATTCTCATTTGATTGTCAGCCACAGCAGTTGTTTGTAGGTGTTAATTCACAAACCAACTTTTGCACCTGCTGTTTTTTCCCCTGTGGATATCCTAGGAATGATTCATTCGATCTCTACCAGTCGTATAATATATATTGTTGTGATTTTACTGTGTGCACGCTATGAATGAACTTGTTTTATAGGGCCACAGGCACAGCCCTATCTTAAGGATGGGGTGGGGAGTAGTTTATACTTAGAAAATGGTTCAACAGATTGATTTGAAGGTTGGCAGGGAAGGTATGTTTCAGGAAAGGTAAAGGTAAAGGGACCACTGACCATTAGGTCCAGTCGCAGACGACTTTGGGGTTGTGGCGCTCATCTCACTTGACTGGCCGAGGGAGCCGGTGTACAGCTTCTGGGTCATGTGGCCAGCATGACTAAGCCGCTCCTTAGTCAGCACACTAAGAGAGCAGCACACGGAAACGCCGTTTACCTTCCCACCAGAGTGGTATCTATTTATCTACTTGCACTGTGTGCTTTTGAACTGCTAGGTTGGCAGGAGCTGGGATTGAACAACGGGAGCTCACCCTGTCGTGGAGATTCGAACCACCGACCTTCTGATCAGCAAGCCCTAGGCTCTGTGGTTTAACCCACAACGCCACCCGTGTCCTAAGTTTCAGGATAGTTTGTGGCAAATTTGGGGTAGAAAACATATGAAATGGCACACATTCAGGGTGAACCTTATGTGAGAGAAGGTTAAGTGGAGGGGAGTTGCACGAAAAACTGTAAATCAATTTTCCATCATCTGGCCAGTTTGGGCCAGTAATTATAACATCAGTACTTCTGATTTCAATGGGGAAACAGTCATGGGCATAGCCAAGGGGGGCAGGGGGCAGCTGTTTCTCCCCCCCCCCAGTAGATCAAGTAAAACAATAGAAATACTTAACTAACTGACCAATCACATAGGTTTTATGCCCCCTAATAAAAGTCCTGCCCCCCCCCAACAAAAATCCTGGTTACGCCCATGAAAACAGTTAGATCTGGTTTCCAAGTTCAGTCTTTCCCCTCACCTTACATTGTCAAGACAGAGAGATCACAGGAGTATGTACATTATGGTTGGAGGATGGATGGTGGCTAACGGATTGAGGTCGAGTCCTGACAAGACAGAAGTACTGTTCTTAGGGTACAGGGGGCAGGCTGGTGTGGAGGACTCCCTGATCCTGAATGGGGTAACTGTGCCCCTGAAGGACCAGGTGCGCAGTCTGGGAGTCATTTTGGACTCACAGCTGTCCATGGAGGCGCAGGTTAATTCTTTGTCCAGGGCAGATGTCCACCAGCTCCATCTGGTATGCAGGCTGAGACCCTACCTGCCCAAAGACTGTCTTGCCAGAGTGGTGCATGCTCTAGTTATCTCCCACTTGGACTACTGCAATGCACTCTACGTGGGGCTACCTTTGAAGGGGACTCGGAAACTGCAATTAATCCAGAATTCATCCCCTTTGAAAATCTCTCTGGTAGTTCCTTAAGTCAGTGTTTCCCAAACGTTTTTGGGCAACGGCACACCTGTTTACCGGAAAAAAATCTCGCGGCACACCACCATTAAAGCCCCGCCCCCGTGACGTCATTCGGGGAGCCGGCGGCCCGGGCCTGAGCTGGAAGGAGAGGCGGTGCTTTTCGGCACAAGGCAATCGGCCTGGAATTGTTTCCCGCGCGCTGCGAAAGGGAACAGCTGCGGTCGCGCGAACCCTCCGGCGCTGGGAGGGGAAAGGGCGGAGTCGCAGAGCACCAGCTGGCCGAGCGGTTGCGCGCAGCGTTGCGCTTTTGGAGAGCGTGCGGCTGCTGCTAGGGGATCCGGGGACGTGAGCAGGCCTGGCCCGACCCGGGTTGAAGGAGGACAAGCCGGCAGCGCGCCAAGTGAGTTCGGTTGCGCGCGACGGCCCCCGCTCCCCCATTAATGATAAATCACCTTACCTATATGATGAAACGAGAGGTATGAATCTTAACGCTAATTTACTGTGATACTACTGCAACAAGGATGTGGGAATAATTTATAAGGATAATTGTTCTTTGAATATGCTCATATTTTTCTTGTTTGATAGTGCTTCCCCCCTTTTTCTGACATCAGAAAGTACAGTGAGGTTATATATTCAGTTTTCATGTTGGACTTTCTGTATTCAGAGTTTTTGTCTGCAGTAAAATGGCTAATTTGCCTGTATCTTTTAAACATTCTGTAGGTAGGTTACTGAGACCTAGCTATATTAATGCCTGGGGTATGGATCATTTCCCTTCTTTTTAATGGAACAGAGCACCAAAGCCTATACAGTATTTTAGGGGGGCCTTCGTGTACTTAGAATTTTTGCTCTGTTATATTGTGTCTTTATCTTTCCTTTTCCCACTGCAGTAGTTTGGACATTATTTTTTAAATCAATTTTTTTAATCATAGCAATTTTTCTATTCATACCTACATTCTGATTGAGATACCACTTGCCACATGCTGTTTTGAATCTAAATCTGTTGTCATGAGATTCCATTTCCCTATTCTTTCAAACATGTAGCTACATGAATAAAGGAATAAAGCAGAAATTCTTATTCTAGATATTAAATTCTCTCAAGCTTATGGTCATAGAGTTGTATCCAGATTTACAACTCAGTCCTAACCAAGTCTGTTCAGAATTAAATTCAGTGGGGCTTGCTCCCAGGTTAGTGTGGTTAGGATTGTCTGAACAAAACCTTTATTACTTGTTCACTCTCTGCTCCAAATAAAAACATTTCTATTCATTTGTTTTGCTGCTACCCACTGCCCCCTCATTCTGTCACCATATACCTGTAGCACTTCAGCTAACATTCTATTAGCTACCTATTTTTGCCATGTAAACTGTGCTGAAAGTTTGGTGTGTCCCCCCCCCCCTAAACTTTCATCTGCAGTGGCTGGAAAACTGAATGGAAATCAGATAGACATGCTGGGTTGAAACCAGGTAAGCAGATGAAGGGAAATGAAAGGGCTGGGAAGGAGAGGGTTTAAACAAATTGGTTTACCTATATTCAGTACGTCACAGACATAAAAGTCTTCTTTCAGTTCCAGCTCAGTGATCCCAGGGATTCCATATCAACCTGTGATATGGAAGCTGTATTAGTGAACTAGAATATTCTATAAGAAGGCTTGGGTCTCGCCATGTAGTTCTCACCATTTTCACCATGATGCTGCCATCCCTCTTTTTGTGTTTTTAATTTTAAATCTGCATTGTTCATTGTAAGATTTTGCATTGTAAAAATCCTATGGGGAACTGTTCATACTAAGGGCTTTCTATGCATAGCAGCCTACACATCGCTGACCACACTGCATCGTGCCTTAATACAGATTATTTGAACATACGCAGGATAGAGAAGTTCCCCTGCTGCCGTGATGATTGAATTTTTTTTTTTTACTATCCTAAAGTTATATATTAGAGTGCATAATAAAGCAAGATAAGCAAAAACATCACATTTGCTCAGAAAATTCTTAGTTTGCAGCCTTTTAAAAACACAACAGTATTTCAGGTCAGTAGAAAAACGGGCTGTTACCTATTACATAGTTTCAGCGAGTTGGAAGGTTGGCATTGCTGCCTTTCAGCTGGATAGTGCTGGGGTGGGGCAGGGCTTCAGTAAGGTCAGAGCTGTGTGATGTACCTACAGAGCTAATCCAGTACTCCCACCAGCAGGTTTGCATAGCTCTGACCTCACCACTGTCATGCACTAGTAGGTGCTGCAGCGATGCTAGTGTTGGGGATGTGGGGGCACCCTTGTTCCTCCTACCCCTGTTCCCAATGTAGATGGTTATTTCCCCCTCCCCTTGTTTCCTATATAGTTCTTCACTCACCTTTCCCCCCTAGTGTGGGGAACCACTTTTTTGTGGTTTGCCTCAGGTGCCAAGATGACTTGGGCCATTCCTGGTATCTACACATGATACGGTAGTCTTGCTGAAGCTAAACAGTGAACAGGCGTGAGACTGAGAACCTCAAGGATGCTGCCTTGAGTCTCTGCATTGTCTTTTACGTGATTGAGCTCTCTGAAACTAGCATTCCAATTTTGAAACCAGTATTTCATTTTTGATAGCAACACAGCACATTCAAATGCATAATCTGAGCATAATATGTGTTCCCCCCCACATGCAATTGTTATATGATCCTCTATATACTATCTATCCATGTGCTCTTCACATTTTTTTCTACAGTGTTTTTGAAACTGTTGATATTAACCCCGATACAGTGACGAGGATTCAAGGAATGAATGACAAGCCCCTCTCCATCTCTGACGGATGCCAAATAAGTGGTTGCCAATAAGCCCAAACTACTACAAGGCATGCACCTGGTAGTATGGTATCCATTCAAGTACTGATTAATCTGCATAATCAAATAACTATTGTTACCATTTTAAATGCATTGAGGCTGATGAAAGCAGGATAGATTCTGTCATTGGTGTTCATCAATTTAAGGAGTTTTACTTCTGCTGACATTAATTTTGGCTGCTCTTATTCCAGTTAAGTTTATGAACAAATGTGCTTAAAGAAGAAAGGATCTCCAAACAAGTCCATAAACTACAAGAGTTTGCCTACTTGTTTAATGGAAATCTTTTTTTTTCTAAAGAGGGCAATAGCCTTTTCTTTCACCTGAATTCTGAATCATGGTTCTGAATCATGGTTCTGAATCATGGTTAATGAAGTTGCAGAAAAACATGGTTATGCTGATAATTATTCAGAAGTCATACATTCATTTATTTTTGTTTTATAAGAAACTTAAAACACCTGGTCCCAACATCAACAAAATGTTTTGCAATGCATATAAAGTAAACATAGAACTTTGCACCCTTTTTTGCAGGTTAACATCTTTCTCAAGAGTGAGCGGCACGTGAAGGTCTGGTTAAAACAGTTTCCTCAGTTGTCCCTTGGTTCATAGGAGGAATTGTTGATGAATGAATATGTAATTCTCTGGCAAAGACAAACTGCCAGCAAAAAATCAGAGGCCAATCAAAATGCACTTTCAGATTTTTTTCAGTTTTTCGGAACTTTTCTTTGCTGTTTTATACTACTATTGAATGGAAACCTGACCAAGATTAAAAGCTGAAATATGCTGACTGCTAACTGTTCAAAAATCAGCTCCACATTCTTTGCTTTCTAATAAAAAAGGACAGAGGAGGAAGTCGAGAGACACCCTGCATATCATTCAATGATTGTTTCCACTAACAGCAAACCAGCATGACTTTGTTGGGAGAGTTACTAAGTTAGAGAATGTGATTAAATGTATGAGTGGATGATGAAGGGGTGCATCACTGGTACTCCTTTAGGAGAATCACACTGCAGGATATCAAAAGGCTGCCCTTGGGAAGAACGGTGGGGTATACATTTACCATATTAGTATTTGCCACAAAGCAAAAATCTCTCAGCCTCTAAGAGTTCAGCAAGAAATAAGAGTTTTGGTTCAGCTTCCTGCTATTAGTTGCTGACCATTTTATGTATTTTTGACAGCCATTCTTTCCAGCGACTGTACAGCAATGAGAACCTTGCAGAAGCAGCAAAGTTGGACTGTTAATAATTTATTTGCTGACAAGTTAAATATATATATCTGAAAATGTGTTTATACTACTTCTAATATAACTAATAGGAAGCAATGGAATCAGGCACATTCCCTAAACAGCCCAAAGCACATATACAGTGTGCAGTAATTGGATTACAATTTATGGTTTTGTAGAGCAGGGGTAGCCATTGCAGTGCCTTCCAGATGTTTTAGACTAAAGCACCTATTATTCCCAGACAGCATAGCTGATGGTCAGGGATGATGGGAGCTGTAGTTCAGCAATGTTTGCAGCGGACTACATTGCCTGACCTTCTAGAGCAGACTGGTGGGCAACAAGGGGCGTGAGGAGAGGGAAGAAAAGTCCTATTGCACATGCAGAAGTCCTTGCACTAATGGGACTTCTTTGGATGCAACCCCATCTGCCCTGTAGTTCATATAACTGCCATGATTGAATTTAGTGCCATTACTCCTTTTAACTTTTTCTGAGAGAAGATAATTGGCACATAAAGATACACATAAAGATATATACGTGTAAATATGTATAATATGAATTGCAATTGTTTAAAAGGCCTTTAATGATACAGCACAAGAGATGTGGACTGGAAATCCAGGTGCTTTTGCAAATTTTTGCATTATAGTTCCTTTGTAATCTTTTTTACCTCAGTCAACTCATTCCTTGCTTCTTACCTATATCTGTCAATATTGTTGGAAAATTTAGCCTGTTGTTGGAACTTTTTTTTTTTTTTTTACAGATTCACGAAGAAAACAACTGACCAACTGAGTCTTTTCTTCTAACTTTAGTGAAGAGATGTGTGTGATTGACAGAACCACAAACAAGAATTCTACAGAGGCACAACCTGTTCTAGGACTGGTCTTGGGTAGCATCTCCCTGATCACAGTTGTCATGAATATTTTGGTCCTGTACGCAGTGAGAACAGAAAAGAAACTGCAGACTGTTGGCAATCTTTATATTGTCAGTCTTTCATGTGCTGATGTTATAGTTGGTGCAGCTGTCATGCCACTAAACATTGTGTACTTGCTGAAGGATAAATGGATTTGGAATAGAAATGCTTGCCTGTTTTGGCTGTCAATGGATTATGTTGCTAGCACAGCCTCCATATTCAGTCTCTTCATACTTTGCATAGATCGTTACCGTTCTGTCCAGCAGCCACTAAAATATCTCAGGTACCGGACCAAAACTAGAGCCTCTGTTATGATATCAGTAGCTTGGCTGCTCTCTTGTATGTGGGTCATCCCAATCCTTGGCTGGCGTAATTTTTACAAGGACAGCAACACAACTGTGAACGATGGGGCTGATAATGGAAATATATGTGAAACAGATTTTTGCAATATCGTGTGGTTTAAAGTTTTGACAGCCATGATAAACTTTTATGTGCCGTCACTGCTGATGCTTTGGTTCTATGCAAAAATATACAAGGCTGTCCAGCGGCATTATCAGCACCGGGAGCACATAAATGGGTCTTTTATATCATCCTCGGAAAGATCAGGTATGTACAGTGGAAGGCTGCAAGAAGTGCAAAAGATTTGTTTTGGAAGCGCAAGTAAAGATATTGGACACATCTCAAACGAGAACAGCTGTGACCAGAACAAAAGAACGGCAGCCAAATATCCAGCAAGCAGTTTTGTTGATGTTCCAAAGGGTTTTCGTTGCAGTAACCATGAAGTAGCGAAGCTTAGCTGTTTTCCTCTAGCCCTTGCACAGAGTGACATGAAAACAGGCAGTGCAGGCATGAGGTATGACTGTGTCAATAAAAGCACTCAGAATACAGAGAGCCTTTGCCTCCAAGACTTTGAGTTAAACAAGACTTTGGATGAGAAGATTTACGCAGAGCAGCCTCCCTGCAGAAATTACTCTGATTTCACTCTAGAGGATCATCCTTATATCGAAGGGTGTTTCCCTCAGTATACCAACAAAAAAGACAGCACGAGTCTCCGTCAGTTGAAAAAGACATGGGAGAAGCTACGCAGCCATTCCATGAGTGTTAATCAAGGGTTGCGTATGAACAGAGACAGAAAGGCAGCCAAACAATTGGGATTCATAATGGCGGCATTTATGCTGTGCTGGAGTCCATATTTTGTTTTCTTCATGGTCATGGCCTATTGTGAAAGCTGCTACAATCGGCCAGTTCATATGTTTACTATTTGGCTTGGCTATATAAATTCTACTTTAAATCCATTTATATATCCACTCTGTAATGAGAACTTCAAAAAGGCTTTCAAGAAGATATTTCATATGAAACCCTAACTTCTTTTTTGGAATATTCCGGAGTGGGCTGAGGCAGGGGAACTTCAGTATCATGGTGGAAGGAAAAATTGACTTTCTGGTACTATAAAGAATAATTGCAAACGCAGCGAATTCTTTTAGAACATCCTTGGTAACTGAAGAAATTGAAAAGAGTGAAAAACAAAAAGGAGAGATTTGGACAATTTAAGTAAAATATTGTGCTTTATTAATTAAACACTCCCAAGTTTCAGCCTCAGGATTGTTTTTGTTTTGAAAATATTTCCACTGTCTTTTTATTTCCAGTTCTATTCTTTGTAACAAATCCGAGACAAAATTAAGTATGTTAGCACTTAACCTAGTTTCTAAAGCTGAAACAGATCTTTATTCACTTCAGTGGTCAGTTTGCTATTGTCACTTGTCTCTTGATATTATTATATGCTCCCTGATTCCCAGAGCAATGAGAATGATTTGATGGATATAGCAATCAGTTTTACCACACACAATATTGGTTGTAACATGTTTCAAATACTTAGTGGTTGGTATACCCGCCTCTGTTGAACTGCAGATTGTAAACTCCTTGGGGCTGAGACTTGTCCTTCTACACTTGATAAAGCACCATGCACACTGCTGGTGTGTGTGAGAGAGAAAGAAGGGAGGGAGATACATACGCACACTCTCACACTCACATACAGGTCAATGTCAAGGCAATGCTTCAGTATTCACAATGTAGTTCTCGCAGTAAATCAGTGTCATTTGCCCAGAAACCATCTAATAGTTGGTTTCTACAATTGATACATTGCTGCCTTCTCTCTTCAGCTCTCTGTAAACATCACTTTTTATAAATATCAGAGCAGCATTCCATAAAACACCAGCTGCAAAGGAAAATCATTGGAGTCTTATTAAAGAAATTAGACAGCAATGCATCTGAATGCCAGTTTCTGGAAACCACAGGAGGAAAGAGTGCTCTTGTGCTTGGTTTCTTCTTACAGGTTTCCCACAGGCAAAGGTTTGGCCACGAGAACAGGACAGTGGCAGACTTGGGTATTATGGCACCCTGTGTTAGGCCAGCATCCCCCCTCCCCTGGCCTCACACTGCCAGGAAATTACTAATTAGGTTTTGGGAAGGAGTACTGGGTAGATTTACAGACTCTTGCATGATGGAAATATATGGAAGCATTCCATGAAATTTGCTGCAGTGGTACTACTAAAAGAATTTCTAAAATGTCTAGTTCCACCTCAAGCAGTTGTTTGAGATGTAAAGGCAAATATACTGACTTTTTAATGTATTAGAAATTGTGTAAAGGTATTTCAAGTATTGCAACTTCTTGAATGTTATTGAAGAAATAATGAGAGATGTGCCTGTTTACATTATATTATTAAATGATTTGAGAAACTGTGTGAAAAGGAAACATAGGACTTAAGTGGACAGTTAGTTAGCAGGTGCAAATCATCCTTGTGAAGAACTGGAAAGACTCTATAGGCCGGGAGCCAGCGCTGTCCGCAGACACTTCCGGGTCACGTGGCCAGCGTGACGAAGCTACTCTGGCGAGCCAGAGCCGCACACGGAAACGCCGTTTACCTTCCCGCTAGTAAGCGGTCCCTATTTATCTACTTGCACCCGGGGGTGCTTTCGAACTGCTAGGTTGGTAGGCGCTGGGACCGAGCAACGGGAGCGCACCCCGCTGCGGGGGATTTGAACCGCCGACCATGCAATCGGCAAGTCCTAGGCACTGAGGTTTAACCCACAGCGCCACCCGCGTCCAGGCGGAAAAGTAATAGGAAACAATAAACTGCTGAATGGTTTAGGAAAGTATGAATGAATTGATCATGTGCAAACAGCTCTTACCAAGGTGACTAACTTTTTGGAAGGGTAGGAAAAAGTTAGTAAGACTGGACTGAAAATTAGAGAAAACACAAGTGAAACCATGTAAAGAACTATGTTTGTTTTATAGACCACAGGAATAAATGGTTTGTCTTCTGTATTTTTTAATATATTAATGTGAGATTGTAAATGGTTTTAATGTTGAACTCCTAAAAAAATTAAAAAGTAGCTAGCAAATGTTCTTGAACAATATTTTACTGTGCAACCCAGCAAGAGCAACTCCCCCTCAACTTGCGTCTAATGTGGTGAAACACTTAATTCCCGATATGCAAACCTTTTGTCTCAAAGGGTGATTCCTCAATGTTATGAATTAGAATCAGTTCTTTTTCAATAAGGCTCTTACTTTGCCTATGGTGACATCTGGCTAAATATTTTTGATGAAGCCTATTCTTATTCTTCATATTCTGAATGCTTTTCGCAATCCTGTAATATGGCAAGATTCCAGAAATCAAAAATCTTTTCACCCGTGCTGCTTCGCTCATACAAAATGTTGTATATTGCCTCCTAACTCTCATTTCTGAGGTTACAATGATATATGTAATTAGGAAAACACATCAAACAACATTTCAGAGACTGCTATCATCATATTCATAAACTAATTGGCAGGACCCACTACTGCAAGCCTAGGAGCAAATTCATTCTACGTTTCCATTAAATGCCCTAAAACACTGTTTGCTGTCACTTTTCCTGGGAAATGCAAGTTCCTAAATTGTACAAGTTCACACAGGTAAAGTATTTTGTAAAATAAGTTTAAATGGACAGATAATTTATTTGAATCCAGGTACGTAGTATGCTGTGCCATTGGCAGCTGTGTGCCCCAGGACTGCAGGGAAACAGGAAGAGCATGTTCCCCCTTCTTCAACTGCTATGCATTTTTAAAATATCTGGCCTTAGGAAGAATTCTGTGTAAAATGAAATCTCACTTATGCCATACATATTGTAAACACTGGTTGGTTCTAATGAAGGTATTGGGTTATTGTCCCTATGATTTCCCTGACCCTAGTCCCCAGCTAGACCATAACTTCTGTTATATTTCCAAAATAAGCAATCTAAACATGGCATCTAGTGAACTTTTTTGAGATAAATGACTAGAGGGAATTTTTTCCGCTCCCCAAAGCCTGGGGATTTAATGTTTTTGTAAGATAAGAATGTAGCAAGTACATCTGTCTTCTGAGTGCTCTCCATTTTCAAAGCTGGATAGCATGCTGACTGCTATTTTTAAAATGTTGCTTTTCAGTGTGAAGTAATCTGATAAAGTGTCAAGGAAAAGTTAAGCCGTAAATGCAAAGGGGCTCAATCTGTATTTGAATTACTGTATATGAACTGTGACTCCAAAAGCTCCACCAACATACAGAAGATCCTGACAGTTGTTTGCTAAAATCGTAGAACCAAAACACTGAATAAAGCTGACATTATTAAACAGGCTACCTAGTATTTATGTACATCTAAATCCCACCTTTCCTTGCAGTACCTCAGGTATGAGATCCTACTAGCATCTTTGTGGGCTTAGCTAGTCTCACAATACTTGCCCCAACCCACCACCCTGCACAATTTATTCCTTCTGGTATGACACACAGTCCCTTGAGGGACAGGTAGGAAAATGCTGTACTGTATTGTAGAGCTTTGTTTTGTTAAACCAAGAACTAAAACAGATAGTCTTATCTTGTTTGGCATTTAGGTGGGCACAGAGATATACTATGGGTTTCATGACATGGCACTAGCTAGGCCATATTGTGCGAAGCACACTAACCAGGGGTGGGCAGAAGGTGGATCAGGGTCTACTACCAAATCCTGATCATCAAGAGTTTGTGTCTCTCAGTGGTTTAACAATATAAACAAAATGAAGATTCCCTCACCTAATTAGGCTGCTGAAATTTAGAAAGTGTGGGAAAACAGGAATAGAAAGGATTTATGTCTGAGAGCGCTTGTTTTGGTACTGAACACACCTTCCTGGGCTCAGCATGTGCTTAGAGGCAAACTTGTCCTGCAATTGTGTCTGTCATCCTGAGCCACTATTTTACACCTGGCTTCAGCTGGTGGACCTGGGGTTGTAGATCTTACAGGGAAGTCTGTTTACCTCTGCACTAGAGTATGTTCCAAGCAAATGCCTCTAGGGGGGGGGGGGACTTCAAACGCAACATTTTCCTTTGTCAGCAGCCACAGTCTCATCCAAAGGTCTTAAAAGCCAATTGTTTCGAAAAGAAAATAGGAAGAAAGCAAACAGATGAATGCTTTCACCCAGACACTAAGCTACTGCCATATGGTAGAGATCAAATGTCTGGATTCTTAGAGAAAGGCTGGAGTGTATTTTTAAAATGTGGACACTCAAGCAACACATGTATGTGACGCACTCAGAGTCGGAATGACATTCAGGAGTGAAACCACCTGCACCATCTGTTTCAAAGAGAAGAAGAGATCTGTGGTCCATTATGCCATGGGAGCAAAGAGACTGGCACTGCTTGCATTTGCAACTGTTTATTGAAAGGGCTACATGAATGCTACTAACGCGTGGGTAGTACAAAAGTAGGGGCGGTAACATTCAGCTTCTAAACAATCCAACATTTAAACGGTACAGAACTTAGAAGAGGTACTGATGAGAAGCTGTGTCACTTATTGTTGCAGGTGTCACAGCAGGCACAACCTGGCAGGCACCTGTGACCCATGAGTGACATAGTTATGGAATGCGAAGTAGCGCAGGGGTCCATCACCATCCCAGCAAACAGAGCTCCATGAAACAAGGTGAAGCGCAGCTTTTATTAAGTAAATAGCAGCTGCAAGGAAGGGCGGGGCGGGGCAATTACCAACTTTCTCTCCCTGTCAACATCCTGACAAAAGTCTCATTAGAAGTTCCTTTCACTTCAAGGGAAACCTCCCCTAATCCCAATGAGAGATTTCCTTCCAGTGCAGCTTCTCAGAAAAGATTTTGGGGGGGGGGGACATCTATCACAGTCCTATGGTCAAATTCATCGTACTGGGATCCCACGGGTGATTTACTTGTATTGTCAAATACAAGTGCGTCGTGCCTTCTCCTTTTTGTGGTCTGGAGGATGCCTATTCCCAGTTCCCACGGCGTCGTTTCTGCCCGAGCTGGTGTGTGTCTGCTTATAAAAACCCTGAGTGGAAGAAAGCGGGTGGTTTGCTGAGCTTTCGGGGTTGCGTTACTACGAATTTGTCTTTGGGTCACTTAGAAACCCGCAAGGGGGTGGTTGTGGTAAATGGAGGCACAGACTACAATCACACGAAAAAAAGGGGGAAAAAACACTTTCGGAGGAACCGCCCGACAGGTTCCTCCAGAAACCCCCAGCGCACTACGGGCTGCGGCGCCAGCAAAAACCTTCCCGCAGGTGGAAGGCAGCAGGCGAACGCCCTGAGGAGGTAACTGGTGGCTCTGCAAGCTGTAGCCACTGCTTGACAAACCTTCCGAAGGGGAGGCTAACGTGAAGCCGAGCTCGACTATACACAGCAGAGAGAGGCGCCTCGGCTTGAAAATGCCGCGCAGCGCCTTCCCCCGCCTCTTTACTGGTATACGCGTGAGCGTTGTAATTTTGGGAAGCTCCTCTCTTCCCTCTCTATATCAGCCGCCCTCAAGCGGTGGCTTCCAAACGGAACCGGAAGTGGGGGAAGGAGCGTGACTAGCCTTCGGTTGCCCTATCTCTATGTTGTTCTGCGCCGGCGGCCGCCCCGCGTTCATAGAGATAAAGAAAGCTCCCTCACGGCCTTTCCGCTTCAAAGGTTCTAAACTTCCGTGGCCCTGCGCGCATGTCACGAGGCGGGACGAAGATGGCGGCGCTCGGCGGCGGCGGCTTCCGGTGTCCGGCGATCCGTTGAATGGGCGAAGCGAGGAAGTTAGTTCCGGAGGAAGGCTGCTCCCGCGGGTGAGAAGTTAGCTCTGTTTCTTGGCTTGCGCAGCTCTCGAACCCTGTGCTGTTCACTCTTGCGCGGTGAGTTCCAGAGACGTCGCTGAAGCAGCAGCAGCAGCAGCAGAATGACGAGCGAGGGTAACGAAACGCGGAACCCCGCGGAAGGTGGACCCCCCAAACTGCAGTTTGTCCCCTTCAGCAGCGCCTTGGATGCTGGCTTTTGGCATGAGTTGACGCAGAAGAAGCTCAATGAGTACAAGCTCGACGAGACCCCCAAGGCGATCAGAGGCTATTACTATAATGGCAAGTACACCGTGGGCCGTTTCTCTTCTCCAGGGGTGGGTGGGAGGGATTGTTGACCCCAGTAATAGTGGTTCATGCTGCTGGATCACGCCCTGCGCAGGTTAAAGGCAGGTTCTCACGATGCTGAGGACGTGTATGCTGGCAAAATGAAGCAATTATAGCATTGCTTCACTGCGCGAAGTGTAACCTGCTCCTCCTGCGCATGTTTACTCTCGAATTCCGCGGCATAGGATATTGTAGCCAACCCCACACATTTCATTCGGAGCAGTGGCGTAGTGTGGGTTGTCAGCACCCGGGGCAAGGCAAGTAATTTGCGCCCCCTAACCCGTGGATTTGCGCCCCCTAACCTGTGGATTTGCCCTAACCCCAGATGTTGCGCCCGGTGTGGCCGGCCCCCCCTGCACCCCCCACGCTACGCCACTGATTCGGAGTAAGACCCACTGAACTGAGCGGCAGTTAACTTTTGAGCCAAACGTGCATAGGATCTCAGGGTTTTCAGTTGATGCAGATGCTTTGTGGGCCCCCCTGCAGAGGCTTCAACTTCAATGTCCATGTCACTGGAAAAAATGTACTCGTTTATATTTGTATACCGTTTAATCATCAAGACTTCTAAGCAGTGTATATAAAGCAGTATAAAATATGCATCAAAATACTGATAAGATCAAATGTTGAAAACAAGCTCCCCTATGTTTCCCCCAAAATACAGTGGTACCTCGGTTTAAGAACAGCCCTGTTTACGAACTATTTGGTTTATGAACTCCGCAGAACCGGAAGTAGTGTCCTGGTTTGTGAACTCTACCTTGGTCTAAGAATGGAAGCTGAACGGTAGAAGGGCACTGGCGGCAGGAGGCCTCATTAGGGAAAGCACACCTCAGTTTAAGAACGGTTTCAGTTTAAGAACAGAATTCGGGAACAGATTAAGTTCATAAACCAAGGTACCACTGTATAAGTAAAACTGGCAGTTTGAAAATATATAAAATAAAATGGTATGTTGAAATTCATGCAATAATTAACAAAGCTTTTAGAAGGCACCAGAAGCAATAAACATGTTTGACTAATATCAATGGGCAGGGAGTTCCAGATGGTAGCGATTGCCACACTGAAAGATCTGTTCCTTGGAAGCATGGAGCAAACATGACGTGGCCCTTGTAAAACTGTCTGTTCTGCAGATTGAAGCAGTCTGTTGGGCATATAGGGAGAGTAAAGTGATCCCTCAAATAAACTGACCCTAAACACTTGAGAACTTATTCTAGCAAAGAAGTACCATGTCCCTGCACTGCAACAACACAGTCCCAAGTCAAGTCTGTGGAAGTCTTTTTGCACTCAAACTTAAGCCCCTTATGTTTTATCTAAGCTTAGGAGCCTAGCTTGCTCTGGATCACAGGAGTCTGTGGGTACTGATAGACAAATTTATTTCTGTTTCTCCTATCTGGAACAGAGAAATAGGAAGTACTTCATAGTTATTTTCTGTTAACTCCTTTCCTCTTTCTTGAACAGCTGGTGTTTCACTCTTCCTCCATTAATGTGTGAAGAAGCCCACTGACTGCATACCACTGCCTCTTCAAACTGAACAGGAAAAAATTACAACCCCAAATTATTTATCTAGGCTATCTACTTTACCTTATAGTGGTGGGTGGGTGGGTGGAGGAGGGGGGAAGGAAGCAGAAATACGTCCTTTTCAATCACATTGTCCTTCATACAATACTTCTTCTGTGAAATGGGGAACCAGTTATGAAACCACCATATGAAGAAAGAATATCTTGTGAGGAAAGCGCATATATACTCAGTCATTAAGCAATCTTATGAGGGAGTATATTAAGATTGTTCCTTGTCTAGCGCACAATGTTGCTTCCCTTATGGGAAAAATGTACCATCAAACATATACCCATAGATACAGCCATTCTAAAAAACTTTTTTTTCGTTTGTTCTTCTAGGAGATCCTGCTGGTATGCCAGCTCGTTTAACACTGGAATTTAGTGCTTTTGATATGTAAGTAACTTAAATGATTCCTATGTTATCTTTATTTCTCTACTTTATTTCTCCGCTTGCAAGCAGCCACTATGGCTTGACATATGTTTTCATATGTAGCAATATCTGTGCTGTTCTTTTTAGATTTTTTTCCATTCTGGATCCTCACAATGCTGACATTGCATTAGAGCAATTCCATTTCTCCCACACCATCCTACTTTGCCTCCTAGTACCCAAAAAAAATCAAGACTTCTTTTTTTTTTTTAAGAACTACAATGGCCCTGCAAAAACGCTTATGTGAGAATGCTTTTTTGCACACCATTCCTCATTTACTGGTTTTAATGACGCTTAGGTGTTGTCCTTTTCACTTTTACTACACCCCATCCTATCATTTGGTAGCATGGTGGGAAAATGTTTCTCAGCATTGGAATTCTGAATGAAATTTTAATATATAAACAGAAAACAAAGGACTGTCAGTACCTTTTCACATGCACATGAAGGTAGAATGAATTTGTGGAGAGGAGAGGAAGTGTGACATGACAAGTGTTCCATAAAACTGGGGTCCCTGAATTAAATGCATGGTTCCTGCTAGATACAAGCTGTGCATCCAAGTGATGGGGGATTCAGTGATCAGGCAGGGATATAAAGGAACAGGTGTCTTTGAGGTATCATGGACCCAGATTGTTAAAGAGCCCTGTAAACTCAAGCAAGATCCTTGAACATTGTCAGAGGAGCAGGGGAAATCCCTTCAAATGGTCAGTAGGAAAACAGAAATGTTTGATGAGCAATACTATGTAAAGGGTGTGGCATTCTAGAGATAAAATGATCTATGGATTTTGTGACTTCCAGTAGATTAGCATGAACTTTGAATGCATGCCTTTTACTATGTCAGATGTGGTTTTTAAAGCCCCATCCCAGCTGTAAAAAGAGGACATGCATCTCTACTTGTGAAAGATGATCCATGGTCCTATTCCTCTTTTCGACAACCAGGTGGAGATTCTGCAAAACTGAAGAAGAGTGGCCTTAGGCATAACTGTTTGCATTCTGTTTCTGGTTGGAAATGTGCCTCACTCAGTTTCTGGTTCTTCTCCCATAGCTATATTTTTATGAGACATCTAATCCAACTTCTGTTCCTTTTCCCTCTGCAGCTGAGATCCATGCAAATAAATGTTAGATGGGTTTGAAATTGTTCTGGTTTGGATATGCAATGTATATTGATCGGGGTGGGGGAACCTGTGGTCCTCCAGATATTGTGGAACACACAGTTGCCATCAGCTTCAGCCAGTATGGGCAGTGATCAGGGATGATGGGAGTTGTAGTTCAACAGCACCCGAGTGGTCCATGGGTTTTCCACCACCCACCCCTACGTAGCAGCCTTGCAAAACTGAATAAAACATCCAGTTTTCATAGTTTCTTTCCAGATGTTTGGGGGGGGGAATGTGCAGAGTACCAATAGCTCTGGTTTGTGTTAACACCATAACAAATACTGGAATATAGTTGGAAGAGTTTTTGTCTTTTTCCTTAGGAATGCCCCAACACCAGCACATTGCTGTCCTGCTATTGGAACATTGTATAACACCAATACTTTGGAAGCATTCAAATCCTGTGATAAGAAGCTTCTTCTTGAGCAAGCCGCAAATAAGGCAAGATAAAAGTGTTACTATTGGAAGCCGCTTTTGAAAACAGCACTGAAACTGTGGCAGTGGCGAAAAGGACCTATGAAGTTGTGATCCTGGAAGCTATTTACAATGTGATTCTGTACATGCTTATTTTGAAGAGAGCTCCGCTGAGTACCAGAATACTTACTCTCAAGTTGAGTGTGTGCAGGATTTCATTATTTGTTTCTCAGGCTCACTTCAGGAATGAGATTAAGCAACTTCAGTGCCATATACAGTATTGCCAGAAAATTGTATGTCGTGTGGTATTGGCTTTGGTGACCTGTTTTGATGCTATCCAAGGAGTAGAAAAATAAAGGCTAAGATGACAAATATCAACACAGATTGCTTTTTTGAGTTTATTGCCCTCTGTCCTCCTATATGGCAGATATTATACCATTGGGAAGCAAATACATTAACCAATATATCCACTATTTCAAGGAACTTTTATTTAAGCATTTAGTGCCTTCCCACTAAGTTCATTGGGCTCAATCAAGGATTGTGGCCTAATTGATGTAAATGTTATGCCTGTACTGTACTCATAAGCTGGTTTAATTCTGAAGTTTTTTTTCTGAAATAACTTGATCATTTGTAGCTTTGTGAGAATGCTGAGAATTCTAATGGCAATATTATAATGAAACCTTGACTGTTAATGCTGTTTAAATTTGCAGTGTAGGAATGCCCATGTATTTGGCCTTGTAAAGAATGTAGATTACTGTTCCACGGTTTTCGAAATACCTTTTATATTTCTAGCATATGCTGTTGGGAGAGATCAGGGGTCTCTCTAGGCCTTTGCATTTGAAATAAATTTCAGATGCAGCATGAAAGTGAAAGCTCTCCATGGGAAAAATTCAGATGCACAAAGAAGGAAAGGGAGCAGTCCACAGAACTGATGTGTTCTCCCCATCCGAAATGAATTCTTCTTTCCCTGTTAAGCATTATGTATGATTATCGTTCGCCTGCATGCTCTGACTAAGCTAACATTAGTCCATTTATTTAAGTAAATCTATTCTGACTTGGTGGCATAAAACATATAAGAACAGTATATATTAATATTGTTGCAATGATGAGACAAATTCTAATACTTTCCTTTACTGATGATTTTCTTCTTCTTTTCTACTGTTAGATATGGGATGCAATAACATCAGGGACTGCTGTTGAGAATCCTGTCTTACTGAACAGATTTATCCTATTAACATTTGCTGTGAGTAAATGGTGTTTTTTATTTTAAAAAAATTCTAGACGATTCACAGCTAAAAACAAAGCATTTGCCTAATAGTCAACGAAGAATAGCTGGTGGGTCATGAATCTAATGCGCCCAGGCTGAAATGTCAGGTTTACACTGCAGTCTTCTGTGATTCCTGGAAAGGAATCTTCTGTGTCTGGAAATACCCCTTTCTACCCCTGAGTGAGTGCTTGAGGGCCCTGCTCTTGCCACTTACTACCATCTGGCTTGGGGCGGGGCCTGAAGCCTCATAAGGACTGCGTGCTGCTTGCGGCCTGCTGCCCAGGAGGACTCCCCTGAGTGAGTGCTTGAGGGCCCTGCTCTTGCCACTTACCATCTGGCCTGGGGCGGGGCCTGACAGGCCTCATAAGGACTGCGTGCTGCTTGCGGCCTGCTGCCCAGGAGGACTCCCCTGAGTGAGTGCTTGAGGGCCCTGCTCTTGCCACTTACCATCTGGCTTGGGGCGGGGCCTGACAGGCCTCATAAGGACTGCGTGCTGCTTGCGGCCTGCTGCCCAGGAGGACTCCCCTGAGTGAGTGCTTGAGGGCCCTGCTCCTTGCCACTTTACCATCTGGCCTGGGTCGGGGCCTGAAGCCTCATAAGGACTGCGTGCTGCTTGCGGCCTGCTGCCCAGGAGGACTCCCCTGAGTGAGTGCTTGAGGACCCTGCTCTTGCCCATACCATCTGGCTTGGGGCGGGCCAGAAGCCTCATAAGGATCTGCGTGCTGCTTGCGGCCTGCTGCCCAGGAGACTCCCCTGATGAGTGCTTTGGAGGGCCCTGCTCTTGCCACTACTACCATTCTGGCTTGGGCGGGGGTGACAGGCCTCATTAAGGACTGCGTTTGCTGCTTTGCGGCCTGCTTGCCCAGGAGGACTCCCCTGGAGTGATCTTGAGGGCCCTGCTCTTGCCACTTACTACCATCTGGCTTGGGGCGGGGCCTTGAAGCCTCATAAGGACTGCGTGCTGCTTGCGGCCTGCTGCCCAGGAGGACTCCCCTGAGTGAGTGCTTTGAGGGACCCTGCTCTTGCCACTTACCATCTGGCCTGGGGCGGGGCCTGAAGCCTCATAAGGACTGCGTGCGCTTGCGGCCTGCTGCCCAGGAGGACTCCCTGAGTGAGTGCTTGAGGGCCCTGCTCTTGCCACTTACCATCTGGCCTGGGGGGGCCTGAGCCTCATAAGGACTGCGTGCTGCTTGCGGCTGCTGCCCAGGAGACTCCCTGAGTGAGTGCTTGAGGGCCCTGCTCTTCCTGCCACTTACCATCTGGCCTGGGGCGGGGCCTGAAGCCTCATAAGGACTGCGTGCTGCTTGCGGCCTGCTGCCCAGGAGGACTCCCTGAGTGAGTGCTTGAGGGCCCTGCTCTTGCCACTTACCATCTGGCCTGGGGCGGGGCCTGAAGCCTCATAAGGACTGTGTGTTGCTTGCGGCCTGCTGCCCAGGAGGACTCCCCTGAGTGAGTGCTTGAGGGCCCTGCTCTTGCCACTTACTACCATCTGGCCTGGGGCGGGGCCTGACAGGCCTCATAAGGACTGCGTGCTGCTTGCGGCCTGCTGCCCAGGAGGACTCCCCTGAGTGAGTGCTTGAGGGCCCTGCTCTTGCCACTTACTACATCTGGCTTGGGGCGGGGCCTGAAGTCTCATAAGGACTGCGTGCTGCCTGCGGCCTGCTGCCCAGGAGGACTCCCCTGAGTGAGTGCTTGAGGGCCCTGCTCCTTCCTGCCACTTACCATCTGGCCTGGGGCGGGGCCTGAAGCCTCATAAGGACTGCGTGCTGCTTGCGGCCTGCTGCCCAGGAGGACTCCCCTGAGTGAGTGCTTGAGGGCCCTGCTCTTGCCACTTACCATCTGGCTTGGGGCGGGGCCTGAAGCCTCATAAGGACTGCGTGTTGCTTGCGGCCTGCTGCCCAGGAGGACTCCCCTGAGTGAGTGCTTGAGGGCCCTGCTCCTTCCTGCCACTTACCATCTGGCCCAGGGCGGGGCCTGACAGGCCTCACTAGGACAGTTATTGCCGGAGGGGCACAGAGTGTTTTTAAAATGTTTTTTAAAAAATTTCTTTGGATTTTTTGTATGTGGGGGGTGGGGGTGGGATGGATGTGTGGTTGGGTTTGGGGAATTATTTTTTTATTATTATTTTGATGTTTTTGTAATTTTTACATTTTTTTGTTTGTATTGTTTTATTGATTTTGTTTGTTTGTTTAAGGTGTTATTTTGTTCTTAGGGGGAGGGGTCAGGGCTGCCGGGGAGTGGGCCCCAGCCCACAAAATGGCTGGGGCATGTTCCACAGGGGGGGATGCACTGGGACAACTGATCTCAGTGATCACGGGTAGGAGGAGGAGTTACGCTAAGACTAGACCATGTCATTACAGAGGGGGCAGGTTTAGTCGTTGTCTGAGGACTATTCCTGCCTCCGGGTCTGGTCCTGACCGGATGGATACTAGAATCAGCAAGGGATACCCACATGACCTGAAAGTGTTGCTGTGCAATGCCAGGTCAATGATTCATAAGACCACTGCCATCCATGACGTGATCATGGATGGAGGACTTGACCTGGCATGTGTGACAGAGACTTGGCTGGATGAAGCAGATGGGCCTGTCCTTGCTGCTGCTTGTCCACCAGGTTTCTCTTACGCACAGCAACCCAGGTCATGTGGGCGGGGAGGGGGGGTTGCAGTGATTTTTAGGAAGTCATTAGTTTGCACCAGGCGTCCTATTGGGAAGACCCAGTTTTCTGAGTGCATGTTCTGGAAGTTGGGCAATAGGGGCAGTACAGGATTCCTTTTGGTGTACCGACCTCCCCGCTGCACCAAGGATTCCCTGTCCGAGCTGCTTCAGGTCGTGGCGGATGTTCTCCTGGAGACACCTAGCTTGGTCGTCCTAGGGGATTTTAACATCCATGCCGACACGACCTTACAAGGGGCCGCTCGGGACTTCGTGGAAAGCATGGCCTCCATGGGGCTGTCCCTGAATAAGTCTGGCCCCACCCATAGCCGTGGACATGCCTTGGACCTGGTGTTTACCTCTATGGATGTTGGTGATCTGACACTAAGTAAAAGCGAAACGAAAGAAGTGCCATGGTCAGATCACTTCCTGGTGCAACTGGACTTCTCTGCGACCCATCCCCTCTGCAGGGAGGTGGGACCAATTCGGATGGTCCGCCCCCGCCACCTAATGGATCCAAATGGTTTCCAGAGAGTGGTAGGGGATGCTTTATCCCATGTTGATGGCCTTTCAGCCGATTCCCTGGTGGCCCGCTGGAATGTGGAGTTAACCAGGGCTATTGACTGTTTGGCTCCGAAGCGCCCTCTCCGATTGCATGGAGCCCGGACAGCCCCGTGGTTTTCCACGGATCTGAGGGCAATGAAACAATCGTTGAGACGGCTAGAGCGCCGGTGGCGGATAACTCATTCCGAATCTGACCGGACACAGGTTAGAGCTCAACGTCGAGCCTACCAAGTGGCGATAGCGACGGCGAAGAAGAATTTCTTCACCGCCTCTATTGCATCTGCAGAAAACAGCAGCAGGAGACTTTTTCAGGTGGTTCACAATTTAGCGGAACCACCTGCAACATCGGGGCCCAGTACGGGCCACATGTTCTCCTGCAATGATTTTGCAAAGTTTTTTGCAGATAAAATCGCTCAGATTCGGGAAGAAGTAGACTCCACCGTGGGAGCAGGGCCGGGGCGGGAGAGTGCTAGAGTTCTGTCTAGTCAAGTTGAGTGGGATCAATTCCAATCTGTTACCTCCGAGGATGTGGACAGGCTGCTTGGACGAGTGAAACCAACCACCTGTCTCCTGGATCCTTGCCCATCCTGGCTTATAAAAGCTAGCCGGGAAGGACTGGGCGATGGGCTTCGTGGGGTGGTGAATGCTTCCCTCCGTGAGGGAGCCTTCCCAGACCCGCTGAAAGAGGCGGTTATTAAACCGCTTCTTAAAAAACCATCTTTAGATGCGGCCACGATGGCCAATTATCGCCCAGTCTCAAATCTTCCATTCCTGGGCAAGGTGATTGAGCGAGCGGTTGCCGAACAACTCCAGGCACGCCTGGAAGAAGCGGACCATTTGGATCCCTTCCAGTCGGGATTCAGGCCTCATCATGGGACTGAAACTGCCTTGGTCGCACTGGTTGATGATCTCCGGCGGGCTAGGGACAAAGGTGATCGCTGTTTCCTAGTTCTGCTGGATCTCTCAGCGGCGTTTGATACCATCGACCATAGCATCCTTCTGGACCGTCTTGAGGGGCTGGGAGCTGGGGGCACTGTCATACAGTGGTTCCGCTCCTTCCTCCTGGGCCGTGTTCAGAAAGTGGTGGTGGGGGATGAGTGTTCAGACCCCTGGGCTCTCACTTGTGGGGTGCCTCAGGGTTCTGTCCTCTCCCCCATGCTTTTCAACATTTACATGCAGCCGCTGGGAGAGATCATCAGGAGGTTTGGGCTGGGTGTTCATCAGTATGCCGATGATACCCAGCTCTACCTCTCTTTTAAATCAGAACCAGTGAAGGCGGTGAAGGTCCTGCGTGAGTGTCTGGAGGCGGTTGGAGGATGGATGGCGGCTAACAGATTGAGATTGAATCCTGACAAGACAGAAGTACTGTTTTTGGGGGACAGGAGGCGGGCAGGTGTGGAGGATTCCCTGGTCCTGAATGGGGTAACTGTGCCCCTGAAGGACCAGGTGCGCAGCCTGGGAGTCATTTTGGACTCACAGCTGTCCATGGAGGCACAGGTCAAATCTGTGTCCAGGGCAGCTGTTTACCAGCTCCATCTGGTACGTAGGCTGAGACCCTATCTGCCTGCGGACTGTCTCGCCAGAGTGGTGCATGCTCTGGTTATCTCCCGCTTGGACTACTGCAATGCACTCTACGTGGGGCTACCTTTGAAGGTGACTCGGAAACTACAATTAATCCAGAATGCGGCAGCTAGACTGGTGACTGGGGGCGGCCGCCGAGACCATATAACACCGGTCTTGAAAGACCTGCATTGGCTCCCAGTACGTTTCCGAGCACAATTCAAAGTGTTGGTGCTGACCTTTAAAGCCCTAAACGGCCTCGGTCCAGTATACCTGAAGGAGCGTCTCCACCCCCATCATTCTGCCCGGACGCTGAGGTCCAGCGCCGAGGGCCTTCTGGCGGTTCCCTCATTGTGAGAAGCAAAGCTACAGGGAACCAGGCAGAGGGCCTTCTCGGTAGTGGCGCCCGCCCTGTGGAACGCCCTTCCAGCAGATGTCAAAGCGATAAACAACTACCTAACATTCAGAAGACATCTTAAGGCAGCCCTGTTCAGGGAAGTTTTTAACATGTGATTTTACTGTATTTTTGGTTTTTATGGAAGCCGCCCAGAGTGGCTGGGGAGGCCCAGCCAGATGGGCGGGGTATAAATAATAAATTATTATTATATTATTATTATTGACATAGAAAAATGAGAGCAAGTGGTACTTTCTAATTTATTAAGGACCTATTTTTGTACTGTATAAGAAAATGTTGTGCGTCACTGTAAAAGCGATGCCACAGTGAATGTGATGGCTCCTAATTTTGATTTTACAGAATTGGGTTCCTAGAATCCTATTCCTAATTGGCATTTTGTAGCCTATGCTGGCCTAAAAGTTTTATATGCTTCCCCTCTGCTATTCTCTCTGTGCATGTCAGTGAAGTGTAGTTTATGGCAGTACCCAGTTGTCTGACATTGCATGGGTACATTGGGAATGCTGTATTATGCATTCGCTAAATGGCTAATTTGAATAGTAATCATTGGATCAAACAACTATTTCCAAGCTATTACGTTTTGCAGTTATTTCATTATTGTAGTTTTAAAATGTTCTAACGTGTTCATACAATTTCCTCCTTAGGATTTGAAGAGATATCGTTTCTATTACTGGTTTTGTTATCCTGCACTTTGTCTCCCAGAAGGTATCCCTTTGATTCAGCAGCCTGTGTGCCTAGGTGCAAAGTTCTCTGCTACTCAGGTATTTTTTTAAAAAACAACAACACTACTAACCTAAAACTTTTAGGACTTTTTTGTTGTCAGAATGGTTTATTCATTGTAGCACTAAGTGGGGTATGCGTGCATGGAACAAGGTCTGTTCATTCAATGGGATTTACCCCCATTCTCCTCCCATGTACCTCCTAAACCTGTTTTGGGTTTCCCTCCAATCCTCCAGAATGCTTTAGAGGCAGGGAAGGGGCATGCAGAGGCAGTGGCGTAGCGTGGGTTGTCAGCACCCGGGGCAAGGCAAGTAATTTGCGCCCCCTAACCCGTGGATTTGCGCCCCCTAACCCATGGATTTGCCCTAACCCCAGATGTTGCGCCCGGTGCGGCTGGCCCCCCCTGCACCCCCCACGCTACGCCACTGTGCAGAGGGAAGGAGGGAAGTCCCACTGTGTGATCGAACCTTGTTCCCTGCACACCACAACTTAGTTGAATCCCACCCATTACTTCTTTATTTATGGAACTCCATTCCTGTATTAAAGGAGAACCCCTGGGTTTCCTAAGGCCACATTCCTTCGCCCCAGGCGATAACCCTCACCAACACTGCTTCATGTCCTTCAGCCCTACTGTTGGGCTGTAACGTATCCTTAAACTGTGAAAATGCCTCTTGTTTTCCTGGATGGAAAGTGGAGAGAGGGATGTCCTCTGCCTTCTGTGTGGTTGTGATGTGTAGAACAGGTGACAATATTGTTCCTGGGTGCCTTTGTCACTGCTGTTGAGCACATAGGTGGCCTTGGTACACTAGTGACCTGTATGTGATGAAATAGGTTGGTGGCTAGACCTCAGGTGGTGGGAATCTCAGTCTGAACTAAGTAGCATTTAAGAAACAACACTGAATTGAGCAAGCCTGTGTTCTGTCTTCGTTTTAGATTGAAGCTCTCCAGAATGCATATGATGAACTTTGTCAGAAAGAAGGCCTTACAGCTCTGCCTTTTTTTCTAATCAAGTACCACGACGATTCTGTTCTTGTCTCCTTGCTCAGAAACTGGGACGACTTCTTTTCTGATCCCAAGGAGAAGGTAAAACCCACCCTGAACACAAGATTCTCTATTGCAATTCTCATTTACACCTTTGACTCCATTTCTGGCTTCACAGGACATGAAAATAATTCGTAGATCCATAAGCTTTTTCTTGATGAGGGTGGGAGAGGAGAGCAGGTTAGTTGGATATCTGAAAGAGGATTTTACGTAGGTTAGTTGGGTGTCAGACTTTTCTAAGTGCTGGAGGTCACTTACTTTACCTTGCTGTGCTCAGATGCTTTATGGTTTTTCTTCAGCCTAGCTCTGATGCCATAAGTCAGGTATGGCCAAACTTGGCCGTCCAGATGTTTTGGGACTACAACTCCCATCATCCCTAGCTACCAGGACCAGTGGTCAGAGATGATGGGAATTGTAGTCCCAAAACATCTGGACGGCCAAGTTTGGCCATGCCTGCCATAACTGAACCAGCTTCTGGGGTAAAATGGCTCAGAACAACTGAATGTTGCAAGATAAGAGAAGAGGCTGGATTTTGCTCCTTTCTCTCTTGCACACTAGGAAGTAGACCTCCCTTCCTCCTTTTTAAATAAAAGGGAAGGCATGTTTAATAACACAGACTCCTCTAGTCATTAGCCAACTCCGTTAATTTAGCCTTTTGACTGGGGCAGCTACTCAGGCACCTGCTGCTGGGTAGGGGTTTCACCACACTTCAGGTTTCTTCCCTCTCCTGCCAGCAGATGTGCTTTCTTTATCCAAGATGCTAAATGTAGAGCTTGTGTGTTCCTTGATGGTACTTGTCTCGCAAACTGATGAATGTTAAAATGTAAATGGAAAACCGATGTGCTGCAAGGTTACAATTGTATATGTTCAGCTCTGTGTCTCTTGCATATTTACAGTTGTACTGTGGTCAAATAAAATTAGCATACAGTACATACTATTAGTATTTAGTAAGTGTATTAACTGTTAATGGTATCTTTTTTTCTTTGCAGGTGACAATTGGTGTTTACGATCCCTGTAATTTTGCCCAGTATCCTGGTTGGCCACTGAGAAACATCTTGGTCCTGGCAGCACACAGATGGTATTTATTATGATTCCTTAAATGTGGCTTTCCCCATGGCTACAAACCTAAACCCATTTACCTTGAAGCAAGTCCCATAGCTCCCCTTGCCTCCTAAATTTCCAGGAAGGTTATCCGGCCCTCTGGATTGGATTTAGTGAGGAGGACAGGGAATCACCAAAAATTGCATTCCTACTCTAGTATGCTGATGGAATCCTTTCATCAGAAGATGAACTGCACTTCATAGTACCCTTGGTTATGGTTAGGATTGGATCTTTCTCTGGAAAGATCACCAAAACATGGTATTAATTTATGAGCTTTGGGATTTTCTACAGTATTGTCAGGGCAAGAGGCTCCTTCAAATTTCAGTTTTGTGTGATAACCCTGAACTGACCTTTGGCTGAGCCAATTGTACAATGCATACCAAGAATTTACAAATGAAGATTGCAGTTCTTAAGAGCCCTCCCATAGGTTCCGTCTATTGAAACACAGGTGATTCTTCTGCTATGTGGTTTAGCAGAGCACATTGCTCTCGCAGATTGCTTCTGGTGCACTTGTTTATCTTGCTGTTCCTTATTACAGTGAATAGGTTTGTCTCTCGGAAATGTATATGGCCTGTTGGACTGTATCCAAATCAAATCCTGCTGGGAAATTTTCTTGGCATCACATTCAGATAAATTACCTGTTGTTAATCCTGGCTTTCTGGCTCTGCTGCTGTTACAGAGTTCTTTATTTCTGACAGGGGCAGCCACCTTCCTTCTGTTCAAGTGCTCTGCTTCCGAGACAGGACCATGCAGGGAGCAAGAGACATTTCACACAGCACCCTTTTTGAAATAAAGCTTCCACAAGTGACACAGAATTCAGGTAATCCATTTGGATGGGTGGGGCTCTGTGTCTAGTGAAATGTGGTCAATATTCCTCCTTGGGAGATTTTTTTCCTCTCTCTCCATCATGCTGTGATGATGAAAGCAGTGTGGTACTCATCCCTGACTTTGTATGTTAAAAGCTGCTATCAGTAAAGGCTTCTTCAGTGAAAAGGCCTTGGAAGGTGCCCATCCTCTCTAAATCGTATGCCAGTTTTGAAAGCGTTTCCTGTACTTGGAAACCATTTATGCCTCTGGTGTTTCCATTATGGTGTACTCATCAACGTAGCTTTTCACAAAAAGCTGTTCAAGAGGAAGGTGGCCTTGTTTCTATGGCATTAATTGCCAGAGATCATGCTAGAGGCAACCAGCTAATAGGATTTGTTTTGGACCGTTCATTTGACTTCATAGTTACCTTCTTTCTTGTGCTTTATTGTCTGAAAAAGGCACACTTGCCGTTCATCCACAACCTTCTGAACCCATCACTTCATTAAGAGGCCTTTTTATTCGCTTCAGGGACATCAGCAAGTCCTGTTCTCCAATTGTATATTGGCTGCCAGGCCAGTTCCAAGGATAATTCAGAGTCTTAGTTCTTTCAAACCCTCCTGTTGGGCAGCGTCAGGCAGCTGAGTCAGGCAGCAGATACTGGGAGTAGGCAACAGTGGTGCAGTGCTGAAGAACCAAGATGTGTGGGTTCCATGGCCTGCCCTGCATCCTCTAAGCTGACCTGCTGACACATCAGTGCTGAAGTAAGATTTAGGGCCGCAGTGCCTCAGTGACCGCCTCTCCCCATATGAACCAACCTGGACCCTACGATCATCATCATCTGAGGCCCTTCTTTGTGTACCCCCTTTTCTACAGTGGCTCCCATCTTGCAGAGTGCTGTCCCCAAGAAGGCTCATCTAGCGCCTTCATTGCATTTCTTAGGTACCAGGCGCAAACATTCCTCTTCTCTCAGGCCTTTGGATAATTAAGAAATCTATGCCCTTTTAAACTCTGGGTTTTCGTTTGTTACTATCTTGTGTATTTTTGTGTTTTTGTATTGTAATCCTCAGATGAAGGGTGGTATAGAAATTTAATAAATAATATAAACAAACAAGCAACCAGTTCAGTTGGCCTTTTTGTGTGGAAAGGGGGGGGGTTGGGGAAAAACCCCCATCTTGTCTGCCTCAGGCAGAAAAATGTCTTGGGCAAACTTTTCCCAAAGTAGACTGAGTTTCCATCTTCTCCCATATGATTCTGCCCAGTCTCTGATCATCTGGGGCCATTTTGTGTTCCCTGCAGCCTTCAGAGGTGTATTTAGTTAGTGGCAACATGCAAGAGTTCCTTTTCTCTCTTATGTCATTCTGTTTTCATTTGAATGCTTTTCTGTTTTAGTGATCATTTGATTTCTCTGCTAGTTACGCTTTTTTCAGTTGGCTCCCAGTTTTAATAATTGTGAGCTGCTTTGGCCTTTTCTAGTTGTCTGGAGTAAGTGGGTTGTACATGTTATTTCTAATATACACCGTATGTTTAGATGCTCATCCCCACAGATTGGGATAAAATGTGATTTGGGGCCACTCGAGGAGTTTAGTAGCTCAGTGAGGGTTTGAATGTAGGTCAGATCCATCATTCCTTTGATTTGCATTACTTGATTCCCATTTAAGAACCTCAAGAAACTGAGCTTTTAAAGTAAGGCAGTGCTAAAAAAAGAAAGAAATAGCTGCCACTAGCAACAATGCCAGTCAATTGCTGCATTATGAAACTGATTACAGAGCTTAATCTGGACTCATGTGTTGGCTTCAGAATGTAAAGTATGCTAGAATTTATTTTATAGATTGCTACTCTATAAAGTCCTCAGCTGCACAATAAAATATTCTATCATCCGAAGTCTCACTTTTATGGCAAGTTCTAGTGAAATCTGGATTCTTGTAATCTAGAATACTTTTCAATATATTCTAGAACAGCCAATAGCTTTTTTCTTTTTTGCAAGGTTTCCACTAGACTGACATGGGACACCTTTGAAATTACAGTAGTGACTTCATATAACTGTAGTTCTCCACTACTCAAATTTTTAACAATTTACCACTTACGATGAGTGGTATTTTGCTGTCTCAAACAACATTTGTTATTCTTCAACACAATTATTTTTCTCTGGTGAGGCAGGTTGTCCAAAAGCTGTTGGATGGGAGAAAAACCAAAAAGGAGGCATGGGCCCAAGAATGGTCAATCTGAGCGAGTGCATGGACCCGAAAAGGTACGTACCATTACAAGGCTTCACACTCTGAAAGGCAGCTTTGCAAGATAAGAAATACAAGTTGGGAATGCCACTTAAGTACCTGAGGAAGCCAGCTCTTAGCATTACGGACTCATTCACTGTTTACTCACTGTCTACAGAATTGTTTTTATTTTTTCCTAAAGAATCTCTTGGCCGTTAGGTCACTATGTGTACTTACTTATTTCTTTGACAGTTTGAGGACTCTTGGTTCTTGATTATCTTGTAGATTGCAGTCTTCCTAACTACGGAAGCCTCTGGATGTGAAAAAGGAGTAGAGTGGTACCTCTGGTTATGTACTTAATTCGTTCCAGTGGTTTGTTCTTAACCTGAAACTGTTCTTAACCTGAAGCACCACTTTAGCTAATGGGGCCTCCCGCTGCTGCTGCTGCGCCTCTGCTGTGCGATTTCTGTTCTCATCCTGAAGCAAAGTTCTTAACCCGAGGTACTATTTGTGGGTTAGCGGAGTCTGTAACCTGAAGCGTATGTAACCTGAAGCGTATGTAACCCGAGGTACCACTGTACAGTAGAACCTCTACTCACGTCCATGATCTGTTCCGAAGGCCTATCCTTATGGCGAAACGGGTCAATAGTAGAAGCGCCGTTTGCACAGGCGCATTCGGTGGCAGCCCACTTCTGCGCATGTGCAGACAGTGGCAGCCGCTTCTGTGCGTATGCAAACGGCAGAAGTCGCTTCTGCTCGTGCGCGAATCACGACAAACCTGGTGTTTATGTCCGGGTTTGCCGCGGTCACGACTTGGAACAAGCCTAAGTAGAGTAGGATGTAAGTAGAGGTTCTAGTGTATATTAGCAAGGGAGCTATGTGCATCAGCTGTGGTGGTGGCTTTCAAACTTCAATGAATCCTTTCCACAATTGTTTTTTGAGGCCTACCTGTTACAGAGGATTCTGGGTATATTCAACTCACATTGGGCACTGGCGAGGCATTTTTTTACTTAATCAGTGTCTTCCATGACCTGAAAGGGCACCTTAGAGCACACTCAGCACAATCCTTGGGCCACATCCTGCCCGCGAGCACACGGTGGACGTGCTCTGTTTCAGCAAGGCTTGTTTGCCATTACTGATTGAAGGATGCCAGGTTGAGTGGAGTTCCCATAACAACATCTATTATATTCTGCTGATTAAGTTTTATGAGTCTTGTGCAAAGAACCATGTAGGAAATGCAATCTGACTTTAGGAACAGCAAATCTCTCATCATTTGTTACCTTCCTCCCTTGTACTTGGGGCTCTGAGGCATCAATTGCAGCTTCCCTTGAGAGTCAGATTGGAAATTTAACCCAGAGCCAGAAGACCACAGTTAACTACTTGTTTATTACATTGACTTAAAGGAACATAATTTGCATAACATAACAGACGCCAAGCTGCAGGTCATGAAAAGGTTGGTCGTTTTACAGCATTTAAATTTTGAAATTGTTTCCTGCTAGTATAGAGAAACTCCCATCAGCCTCCGGAAGCTGTGCACAGAGAGAATTATAGAAATGCCAAAAGATGAAAGGCTTTCCCCTCATGGTTCATTGTTTCTGATATTTCAGCAATTTTACCAATGCATTTTCAGGTTTTTCTTCCTCCCTTCTTAGATGGTGAGATTTAAAGCCTTCTTTTTAAATTAAAGTTGTGGGTTCTTGGGAGACTTGGGGTTTTGTAAACTAGAAAAGTACCATAAGGACTTGTATGTTATAACAAGCAGGAAATCTGCAGCTGGAAAATGGTCTGTTCTGTTTCCCTGCTACATTTTCACCCTAATTGTGAGGAGAGCTTAAACATAGCCATTTGGGGCTTCTCTTCCAATTATTCTGATACTTTCATAAATTTTGATGCCAAATTCTGCTTTCATATTTAGATGAAAAGCTAAATTAAGTTTTAAATAAATACATGAAATCTGGAAAAAAAGGCCTGCAGAAGTTTGCTGGAGTATGTAGCAAAATATTTTTGCAGACAGCTGAAGAATTCAAGTTAGCAGGGTAGTAGTTCTATTTCAAGTTTGGTTTTACAAAATTGTTTACCAATATTTTAGATTAGCATTCTTTTCTCTAGATTGTGTCAGATAGTGTTACAACAGGGTTATATTTGGATATTGTATGGATACATTTTATATTTTCTGTTTAATATTGGCATAATTTACAACCCTTCCAGTACAGTGGTACCTCGGGTTACATAAGCTTCAGGTTACATACGCTTCAGGTTACAGGGGGCAGATTCTGAATGGGGAGAAGAAAATCAGAAGTTCCATTGTTTAAACCAACTTCCAGTTGAATTTAAATTCCATGAACAGGCAGACATTGTTCAGTGTCGTCCTATAAATTTTTCACTATCTGATTTCCCATTGTAAATGAGCACATCATATCTAGGAACACAAACAGGTGATAATTTGTTCTTGTTTCTGTATTACTGGGATGGAAATAATTCTGACGGGTTCTTCTAAGTGACAGAGCAGTACAAGAGTGATCTCTTTGGATGAGGGTGTTATAATCTGATCTGATGCTGCCTCTGTTACATGTATAAAAGGCTGATAAGGCTTTAACCAAGACAGCTAAATTTATTGCACAACCTAAATGTTAGATTTTCTTTTTTGTCCTATAGCTTTTCAGACTGTGGTGATATTAGTTGTCTTAATACAGTGGTACCTCGGGTTACATACGCTTCAGGTTGGTTACAGACGCTTCAGATTACAGACTCCGCTAACCCAGAAATAGTGCTTCAGGTTAAGAACTTTGCTTCAGGATAAGAACAGAAATTGTGCTCTGGCGGCGCGGCGGCAGCAGGAGGCCCCATTAGCTAAAGTGGTGCTTCAGGTTAAGAACAGTTTCAGGTTAAGAACGGACCTTCGGAACGAATTAAGTACTTAACCCGAGGTACCATTTGGAGATGGGGACAAGAAGAAAATGTAATGCACTATTGTAAGCTATAATTAAAATACAGAGGAGATGAAGGACATCAGTGGTGTACTGATGTTTCAACCGAAGGGGGCGAGCATAACCAGTCTTTAACTTCCTGTTCTATTTTAATTTATAGGTTAGCTGAATCATCGGTGGATCTTAACCTTAAATTGATGTGTTGGCGGTTAGTGCCTACTCTTGACCTGGAGAAAGTTGTGTCTGTGAAGTGTCTTCTCCTAGGAGCTGGTACGCTGGGTTGTAGTGTAGCCAGAACTTTGATGGCAAGTACTGAAGCTACTCCACATATTCAAACCTGTCCCATTATTTTGTATCAGTATCTATGAAGCAAAATAGGTGTCGAATAAGAGTCCTCCTTTCTTCCTCCTGTTCATGGGATTCTCTCTTTGACAGCCCCTACCCTGGAGGCTCAAAAGTGTGCTCCCACAAGAGTTGTTAACATGCAGAAAGCAGGCTGGGCCATAGTATCCTTCGCAATGAGATGTACAAAATTTGCCAAACTATACCTTAACAAATGAACACTATCTACTGCATTTTTCGCTCTATAAGATGCACCAGACCACAAGACGCATCTAGTTTTTGGAGGAGGAAAACAAAACAAAACAAATATTCTGAATCCCAGAAGCCAGAACAGCAAGAGGGATCGCTGCGCAGTGAAAGCAGCAATCCTCTTGCTGTTCTGGCTTCTGGGATAGCTGCGCAGCCTGCAGTCGCTCCATAAGACGCACACACATTTCCCCTTACTTTTTAGGAGGGAAAAAGTGAGTCTTATAGAGCAAAAAATATGGTAATTAAGGTGCATTTAACTCCAGGAGTTTGGAAGGGAAATGGTTTCTATCAATGGCTGCATCATTTGTTTTTAGCTGCATTTTTAGTGGCGTAGCGCAGCTTGTGAAATATCAACCTGAATCTTGAGTAAAAGCCTGGGATTAACAGGAATAAAACATAAACTGTGATTAGTGCATATATTCCATTCTACTCTTCTATTTTACTTTTGCTATTAGTTGAAATAGCATAATTGTTCTCAAAGTGTGAGGTGGATTTCTCTGAGGAGTCATTGAATATGGAATGAGCACACTACTGACCACACTTAGTGTGTGTCCGGAAGATGGCAACACAAGAACGGGCCTTTTCTGTGGTGGCTCCCTGTTTGTGGAATGCTCTCCCCAGGGAGGCTTGCCTGGGCCCTTCATTACATATCTTTAGGCTTGAGGCAAAAACGTATATAACTAGGCCTTTGGCCAATTAACATTCATGGCCTTTTAAATGTCTTTGTGGGAGAAGGGTTATTGGTTTGTTTTTGTATATTATGCATTTTGTAATTATTTTGTTGTTAATCTCTCTGTCTTTGGATAAAGGACGGTATACAAATTTGACAAATAAAAAGTAAAAAAAATAGATTAGTGGTAATTTTGCCTTACTCAAAGAACTATTTCATTGCTTGTGGTTTTCCACTCAGGGATGGGGAGTCAGGAAGATCACATTTGTGGACAACGCAAAGATTTCTTATTCCAACCCTGTGCGGCAACCACTCTATGAATTTGAAGACTGCCTCGGGGGTGGGAAGTCCAAAGCACTTGCAGCAGCAGACAGGCTCCAAAAAATATTCCCAGGAGTGGTGAGTAAAATGCATTGAGATGTGATTTAATGATCAAAACACTTTATTAGTTTCAATAACGGCCTAGGATTTCTTCTCATGCCCATTCTTCAAAAGTGAACTAAGCCACAAGGAAATAATTCTGATGTTACGGTGACTGACTAGCTTTGACAGCTAGTCATTTACACGGAAAAAAGAACTGAAATTAAACCTGCTTGAAGCAATCAAAATAAAAACGAGGCACAAAGGAAGAGTTTAGGAAAAGTAAACTGAGCACTATTTAGCTGTGCTTAGTTCTTCATCAAAATGAAGTGACAGAGGAAAAGTGTCATTTAGCACAGTGTTATTCACACAGCCATAAAAATAATCTCTACCACCATACCATTTATAGCAAATACAGGGTATATCTGTCTTATTAGAGACCCTTACTTGAAATGCATGCAATTGCAGACTGATAATTCTAATTGTATTTGCTTGAGAGTAGACATACCAGCTTATTATTTCAGACAGCAATTGCAGGAAAAAAATATTACACGTTGGCGGAATCCAGTTGATCTTTCTAGCATGACTGCTGCAACGAAGGCATCTGCTAACTGCTTCTTCAAGTGCACGCACCCCCCCCCCCAAAAAAAAAAGATAGGTGATAGGTTGGGGACTCAGGAACTGTCTAGGACAGATTTTGAGGGACAGGGCTACAGCTGAGAGGGGAATTGGCAAGAATAGCATGCCCTTTATCAGAACATTATATTTGGATAAGCTCCAATCACATAAACAGTAGGCAGCCATGGAAAGATGGAAGAAAACTAGCTCTACAGGTGTTGTCTGAAAGACTGCGCTGTGTATTTTGGGTTGTATTCAGTACTGTGTGCACTAAGTTCTGCCCTTCCTCTGCTCTCCCTGTCTGCTTCCAAAATCTACTCTAGAGGATCCCCAACCCTTTGGAGTAGATTTTGGGGGGTGCACACAGGGCTGGAGAGGAGAGGGAAGCTCCATTATGCAAGTGGAAGCCAGTTGCACAAGCTGAACTGTTGGACACAAGGCTTTATATAAACATTTCTGCCCCATCAGTTCACTCCTCTGGGCGGCAAGAACAATAAAATGAATAATAAAACCAGTCATAATTAGGCTTTGTCTGCACGAGACATATGGAAACTGTTTCGATTTAACAGTTTCATTATTGGTTTTTATTGCAGTTGGAGCTTTTTAATTAGTCTCACAACCGTCTCACTTATACAAAATATTTCTCCATTCGTAATTATTGACAGCTTTTACTAAACGGAACTAAATTTATCAGCCTTGTGAATCCTCCAACTAACTCCCTGTGCATAGGTTTTGTTGTGTAATCAACAGCCTTCATATTTGGGCTCTGCTTTTGGGATCTGACTGCTCCATTTTTGAGGGACTACATACTGTAACTTCCCTAAATCTCCTAATCTTGGTTGGAGTATTAGGAGTATGCTGTGGGCTTAGGTGTTCCCCTTTCACGCTCTGAATTCTGGTAATGGCCTTTGACTGGCCTTGACTGTCCAGGGGTCCTTTACCCTTTTTTTTAAAACCTTACTCAAACATCTCAACCACACTAAATGGCCCCCCCACCCCCCACTTGTGTGGGCAACAATCCTTAGTAGATCCATTTTGCCCATCTTTCAGAAACACTGTGTTGGATACAACCACCTGTGGTTTTTCAAAGGTGCTATTCCATGCTACTGAAAGATTCTCTGCAATCTGAAATAATATGTTTTTCTTATGCCATCTGCTGGTCAATAAGCTCAACTACACAACAAATCTGAGCTTTGTATTAACAATACAGTGGTACCTCGGGTTAAGAACTTAATTTGCTCTGGAGGTCCGTTCTTAACCTGAAACTGTTCTTAACCTGAGGTACAACTTTAGCTAATGGGGCCTCCCGCTGCTGCTGCGCCACCACCACGCAATTTCTGTTCTCATCCTGAAGCAAAGTTCTTAACCTGAGGGACTACTTCCGGGTTAGCAGAGTCTGTAACCTGAAGCATCTGTAACCTGAGGTACCACTGTATCTTATATGCAGTCTTAGGTCACCCTGTGTTTTTAAATGTGTTATTTTAAAATGAAACCCATTTGGCTGATTGTACACACAAATAACAAGGTTATTTTTGAAATACTATCTTCTTTCAACTAGCAAATCAGAGTGTGCTTCGTGTACTGAAATACTGTTTTGACATGTACCACATGTAATTCACTGAATCTGAGTATGGATGCTGCTGGTGTACCTCCCAGCCCATTGCTCAGCAGCTTCCCTGGCCAAGCTGACAGAGGTGCTCTTGGAGGTGGTTTTGTAGAATATCTTCACCATAGTGCTACGGTGGCCTCAAGTGTGCTGTGACAGCAGGGCTGGTCTCTGCCTCCAGAGACATACAGAATCCAACAGTTCTTGAATGCTGTGGGGGATTTTCTTGTTGACATTGTTGATGCTTCTGCTGAGGCCCTACTCTGGTTTTTGCTGGCTGTCCCCCCCCCCCTCCCTGCAGAGTGCATGTGTTTGTGTCCTGGGTAGAGTTAGGTATGTGGTGGGTGGTGGGAGACAGACAGAACACAGTGAAAAATTGGCAGGCCATTCAAAATAGTGGAAGTACATAGCTAGTAATGTCGCAGGCACCATCCTATTAATGCCCTTGATAGTGATGCTGTAGTATAGCATACAAAAGAGCCAAGCTTGCTGGTGTGAGAATGACTTGTTTTCTGCTGGAAAGAAAATGAGGATTTCCTGACAATGAGGAGTACATACAGGGGATAACATGATAACATCATCTGGGTAGATTCGTGACAGCAGAGAATTCCATCAGGAAAACTTTAGTCTCTAGGAAGGCTCTTAATGTTTCCACAAATGTATGGCTTGCTTTTTCTTTTTCTTTTGTGAAGGCACAATAAACTCTGCATTAATTATTCTTAAAACAGCTGTCCAGTAATAGGGAACCTTTATGAAATGGCCCTCTCTCTCTTTAAAGCAGCCACAACTGCAGCCCAGCTGTGATTCTAAATGCAGATGAAATAATCCATGTTATGATGATTAAAATAGTTCTATTCTCCTCAGTATTGCAATTTTGCTGGAGCCTGCTGGTGCCTGCTGGCTTAATTACATGAAATAACCAAACCTATTAACAAGTGGGTTTACCTAATTATGGTTAAAAGTTGTATTCTGTGTGAAAATATGTGTGTTACTCTTTTCTTTCTGCTTCATTTTTTAGAATGCTGAAGGTTTTAATATGAGTATCCCAATGCCAGGTCACCCAGTAAATTTTTCTGACGTCACCTTGGAGCAGGCCCGCAAGGATGTGACACAACTGGAGGAGCTCATTGATGCCCACGATGTCATCTTTTTGTTAATGGACACCAGGGAAAGCCGGTGGCTTCCTGCTGTTATTGCAGCTAGCAAGAGAAAGGTATCCTACTTCATTAGTATCCCAGAGGCCATGATGTAAGTGGCGCATTGTAGTCTGTGGTGGCCATTCAAAAGCTTTTGCAGTTGCTGTTTTAACACGAATCAAACCCTTCAACTGCAAACATTTCCCAATGACTTAATGCTCGTAGCTATCTTCTGCTTGGAATCTCCCTCAGACTGAAACAGCTTAGTTGTCAGTGTTAGTGTGACATGCTCAGTTCCATTTGCGCATTATTATAATCACATTTCTGACTGACCCTGTGTATATATCCTAATATTTTGAAGGGGAGTGGTATCCAGGAACATATCTCTGCATACTTGCTTGGCAAAGGATAATGTATTGTATTAAAATATAGCTTAGAGTTTTGATCTGGACTTCTGCTGCTTCCAGTTTTTTTCTCTTTTAATTTTGTTTTCATAACTTTAATTTGGCTTGTAAAAATTGAATAAATATTAATAATTTCTTAAGGTATTTATGTACTTCTGCTTATAGCCTAAGGGTAATTGTAGTCTGTTGAACACTAAGGATGCTGGCAACTGTATTTGATCTGTCAGGTTGTGGCTATTAGTTTCCATCTTCAACAGTTTTTACCACTTACTGAAAAAAAGAAAAGAAAAGAAAAGAAGCTTACATGTGTTTGTGGGAATAGCTACTGAAGATCTGGAGAATTATCTTCTTATTTTTCCAGTCTGTAGAAGTACTAGGGGTGGAAATCATCAAGCTGAAATAAAAATAGTTTACAGGCTATGTATATGATAATTTTGAAGTGAAACCTGTGTAGTGTCAGATGAAATGATGTAATGAAATTATCAGAGTATATAACCACTGGACTTTTTGTTCTTGTTCTAAGCTTTGTTGAAATAGCAAGATATGGGCAAGATCCCAAGGTAGATAACAGGATGGGTTTCTAAACCTCTCTCTCTCTCTCTCTTTTGCCTTGGGTTTGTGAACTCATCTTAAGTCAAGGTATAGAAGTGAGGTTGGAAAACAGGGATCTAGCCATGGACTTGTATCCAACTATCCCACAACAGTTGCAACCAGTGATGCTAGTCAGTGGAATGGGGAGAGAAGCAAGCCATTTTGGGTGGTTTCCCTGTCTCCCTGCAGTAGTTGCTTTCCTCCCATCTGATCTAGCACATCCCCCCAGCCCTCTGTAGTATATTTGGGGCAGGCATGGAGGTTGCAGGGAGGGAAGGGGAGTTGCTGAGAATGACTTCGCTCCCTTTTCTACTTACGGAAGCCTTCAGTCAGCTGAACGATACCATTGGACACAACTCATAGTTTCAATCTGGGTTTGTACATAGTTTTCTGTTTGGATTTACACAGAATAACTATAGCTTCCAGCAAGCCAGGGAGGAAGGAAAGGAATCGCAGTGCATGAAGGTGATGAGGGAATATGTGTGTCCAAGGCTCCTTCATGTAGCACAGGAGCAGCCAATGTGTTCTCCAGATGTTGTTGGCCTCTAGCTCCCATCATCCCCGATCACTGGTCATCCTGGCTGTGGCGGATAAGAGTCAGAGTCAAAAGCACCTGGATGCCGCGTTGGCTACCCATGATGTAGTAGCATTATCAATAACTTATTTCATCTATCAGTAACTTATTTTGTAAGCAACATTTACAATATATTGCCATATTTCTGCAATTTTTACCCCACAATAAATAGGTTTTCACTTGTTCACCTGCATTTGATTTGATTATCACTTTCTATACTTTTCATTGTTTTGTACAGCTGGTAATCAATGCTGCCCTGGGATTTGACACCTTTGTTGTGATGAGACATGGACTGAAGAAGCCAAAGCATCAAGAGGTGGGCGATTCTCCCTGCAATAATCCTTCAGCTTCAGCCGATCTTCTGGGATCATCGCTCTTTTCAAATATCCCTGGTTACAAACTTGGTTGCTACTTCTGCAATGACGTTGTGGCACCGGGAGATGTAAGTATAATTGATGTGAATTGCAACTTATTGTGTTATTGTGTTTTATAGTTCTTGATTTTTAATACAATCTGACTCTGCAACCTTTCAGTGTATGATGATGATGATGATGATGAAGAATATCACTTTAAAATCATTATATTTTCCCCTGAGAGCACAGTGGTCCATTTGTTAGCATTCGTTTTAAAAGATAGCCTTTAAAACGTTTTGAGCAATTATGCAGATAAAAAGAGCTTGAAAGTATAACATTGTGAAACTGCCTTCCTTTGTAGTCCACCAGGGATCGGACATTAGATCAGCAGTGCACAGTCAGTCGACCAGGATTAGCCATGATAGCAGGAGCCCTTGCTGTGGAATTAATGGTATCCATTTTGCAGCACCCAGAAGGGTAAGTCATAACTGTGTGGGTGGAGTCATGTTTTCACAAAACATTAATAAAATTAATTAATCAAAATAATAATTCTAGATGATTAATAAATGGAATTAATTAACTGAATACATCTCCTTTCTCCCCTCCTCCTTTTTTTGTTAGTGGCTATGCCATTGCCAGCAGTAGTGATGACAGAATGAATGAACCTCCCACCTCTCTTGGGCTTGTGCCACATCAGGTTAGTAAACCAAAAATAAACGCCGTTGGCTTGCTTTGTCCTGATATAGAAATGTGTCAAATAGACCCACTTGGCATATAACACTGAACCCATGGCTAAGCGTGAGTATGCGACCATGACAATACTCAGAGTAAAAATTCTGGTTTCTTTGCACCTCCCTTGATCTGGCTGCTGCTGTGCCACCTGGAGCTAGGCCATGAGTTGCCTCACAAGTGCGAATCCAGGTTGGGATGTGTTATGTCTCCCCTGGAAGTAGTGAGAGGAGAGGGGATGTGGTCTGTGGAGGGTTCTGAGGGCTAGGGCTGCCCTTGAGCCTGAGGTTCACCCCACCCCCTTATAAAAGATTATATCCAGCTAAATTATCGCACAAGGAGAATAAATGTTGCCTCTGCAATATAACCAGTGTGGTGTAGTGGTTAAGAGTGGTGGACTTGTAATCTGGTGAACTGGATTCACGTCCCCGCTCCTCCACATGCAGCTGCTGGGTGACCTTGGGCTAGTCACACTTCTCTGAAGTCTCTCAGCCCTACTCACCTCACAGAGTCTTTGTTGTGGGGGAGGAAGGGAAAGGAGAATGTTAGCCGCTTTGAGACTCCTTTGGGTAGTGATAAAGCGGGATATCAAACCCAGACTCTTCTTCTTCTACTTCTTCCTCCTCCTTTGCCTTATTTGAGCCCCCTCAGCTGTCCCTAAATCTGCTTCAGAGGGTTGGAAGATACGCCCCACAAAGCAGATTTGAAGAGCATTGAGGTGGAGGGTTAAGTTCTGCTGCAATTTCAGGAGACGTTCTGGGCTTGCAATGGTTTAGTTGGATGTAACCCAATATTGTTAATTAGTTAAATCCACTTGCTATGACATCCAGCGACCTGTTTATGCAAGAGCTTTCCTTTTTAATTCTTGGTAATTGAACTGATTATTATACTAAGACTAGCTTTTGGGGTTTTTTAAAAGTGCAATTACTATTGGGTTTTTTAAGTCACCAGTGGATGCTGACTCTTAAGTGACCCCGACAATTCTCCTGTTACTTGTTAGTGCTGTTAACGTTTTCACAACTACCCTTTTGCTCTTTTCAGCAAGGAAATAGATTGAGATAAGACTAGCTTGTAAAAGCTAAGTTGTACAAAGTGCTAAGAAATCATCAGGGTTTGTGTGTGCTTTCAAGAATTGATTGTACAATGATGCATAGTTGCACTGCAACATGTTATCCTTTATGGTCAGTTTTTTCTTTTTCCCTCATTGTTTTCACAAATGCTTTCCTGCTGGCTAAGAAGATGTAATACTATCCCACTTCTGTTTGCTGATACCATATCCATTTAGAATTAGGAGGGAGAGCTTTCTTTGGGCCAGAGCTCTCTCTTCTTATGCTTATCTGAATCAGGGCAAATTTAGGTGGTGGACCGGAAGCTAATTAATTTGATCTTTTCCTCTCATAGTAGTATTTTTCTTCTTGTCCTTTAAGGTATTCTTGCTGTGAAGCAGTCATCTTCTCTGAATGCACAGAACTATATCACAAAAATTATTAGTAAAATTATTTCCTTGTTAGCAGAGAATTTCTTAAGGGTTGTAACTCTGAACCTTCTGTGGCAGAGATTTGATTTTATTATTTGTTTGTTTATTTGTTTCATTTGTTTATATTCTTTATTCATTTATTTCATTTATATCCCACTTTTTCCTCCAAAGAGCTCAAGATGGCATACATGGTTCTCTACCCCCCCCCTTCATTTAATGCTCAGTACAACCCTGTTGTGTAGGTTAGGTGGAGAAGCATTGAGCAGACCAGAATCATCCAGCTTCAAAGCTTCATCGCCGAACAAGGATTTGAACCCTTATCCCCCAGGTTGTTGTCCCACACTCTAACCATGACACCGCAATGGCCTGGATGGGTTTTAATTTAGTATTTAATTTTTATTTTTCTTACTACATGCCCTCTTCAACATCTTAATATCAGCTCAGTTTATTCTTTGCGCTCAGTTTTTGCTTCAGAATAAAATACCCACTGTTGTTTTGATAAAAAAAATTTTAAGATTACAAAGCAAGGTAGATAGTCTATTTAAAGAACCAGTTCAATAATTTTGTTTCCTTTAAAGACTAAAGATACTTTGTTTCCTTCAAAGACTTCAAAATTAAAAGAGGTCATCCCTCTTGCACTGGCCATATTGGTGCAGGGTAAGACGTAGGTAACATAAACAGTAGCAATATATCAAATACTGTGATTGAAGTAAGAAGGCATATGTCAAATTCATATAGGCTGATTTTCTGAATATATACATATATATATATATATATATATATATATATATATAATGCAGTCATGTTCAGTCTGTTACTATTTATATAAGTATTTATATTTATTTATATTTATATAAGTATATTCTTAAAATAAGCTGGTCTATATAATAGTATTTGCAATTCCAGTTGCAAAAGAATCTGAGCAAGGATACCATAATTTAAACAACAATGGACATGTAACTAGTGAGTTTGGGAAGGTACTACAGTTTGCATCATGCCGTTAAAAGATTCAAAGATCGTTAACCCCCCCCCCCAAAAAAAAGACATTTAGAATTGAAGTGTTTGATCCTTTACTCTTATAGGATTGGAAAAGATTTACAGGGATTTGATAGATCTGTGATGCTGTATTCACAATCAGAGTAGCAATTGAACTACTGTAAACAAATACCTGTATGAACTGGTCCAGTGCTCCATTCTGGATTAATGATTCTGCTCAATCATGGTTTGGTTTTTTTAAAGAAAATGAAACCATGCTTTTAAGAACACACAGATGTCAGCCACAGAACTCTTGCTTCAGTGCGATTACTGTTTTAGCCACTGAGGAGGAAAGAGATAAAACTAAGAAAGGTGATCCCTTTTATTGGTCTACACGATCACATTACCTTCTTTGTTCCTCCTGAAGGGCTTATTAAAGCTGGCTGGCTGACTGGAAATTTCAGTTGCACACACAACTTCTGTAATACACAGAATTGGTTAGTATCAAGCAGCAGGAAACAGAAGAGTCTGCACCTTTTCCATTTCAGAATGGCTGCAGAGCAAGAACCTGAACAATACATTCAGTAGCAACAGTCGTCATGCTTTCTTCTTTTCTCTCAGTTGTTGCTTGCTGCAGTCAAGAAGTTTCAACTCCAGGTGGTGCTGTTTCTGTATACAGTGAGATAAAAATGCATGCTAGTCCTCCTACCTGCACAACCAAAACATATCATGTGCCAAGTCAGTTTCAGCAGAAAGGCCTGCTGAAGTCTGTCTACTTGTGCCACAAATAATGGGCATCTTGGCTATACTTTCTTCAAACGATGGTGCTTGCAAAACTTAGCCAGCACAATATTAATATCATATTGCTGCCTATCTCTTTGACTTGCAGATCCGAGGGTTTTTATCAAGATTTGATAACGTCCTTCCCGTCAGCCTGGCTTTTGACAAATGCACTGCCTGTTCTCCCAGAGTAAGTTTGGTTTGTAATGTGAACTGTTTTTTTCCTGAAAACAATGCTTCTGCTTTGTCACTGTTGCGTTTTTTTACATGCAAGGCTTTCCTTTGTTTATTTTGAGATGTGTACTTTATGTCACTGTTGAGCATTGTGCTACTAACTAAATCTTTCTTAGCCAATATAATCTTAAGTAATTTTCTACCCTCCTTTAAATATGGAATTTCCAAGTCTATTGTCTTAAATGAAACACCTCTTTTACCTGTACAAGGCGGTGAATAATAGCTTCATTTTTTAGCTCTGCGTTGAATGAAAATAACCCTGCTGCTGTCACCATTGTTACAGGCAGTCATTTAATTTTTTTTATAAAAAAATGTTTACACACACACACACACACACACACACACACACAGTGGTACCTCGGGTTAAGTACTTAATTCGTTCCGGAGGTCCGTTCTTAACCTGAAACTGTTCTTAACCTTAACTTTAGCTAATGGGGCCTCCTGCTGCCGCCGTGCCACCAGAGCACGATTTCTGTTCTCATCCTGAAGCAAAGTTCTTAACCCGAGGTAATATTTCTGGGTTAGCGGAGTCTGTAACCTGAAGTGTATGTAACCTGAAGCGTATGTAACCCGAGGTACCACTGTACTTTTATTATTTATACCCTGCCCATCTGGGTGGGTTTCCTCAGCCACTCTGGGCAGCTTCCAACAAAGATTAAAAGGTAAAGGTAAAGGTACCCCTGCCCGTACGGGCCAGTCGTGACCGACTCTGGGGTTTCGTGCTCATCTCGCTTAAGAGGCCGGGAGCCAGCACTGTCTGGAGACACTTCCGGGTCACATGGCCAGCGTGACAAAGCTGCTCTGGCGAGCCAGCACCAGCGCAGCACATGGAAACGCTGTTACCTTCCCGCTATAAAGCGGTACTTATTTATCTACTTGCACTTAGGGGTGCTTTCGAACTGCTAGGTGGGCAGGAGCTGGGACCGAAGTCCTAGGCACTGAGGTTTTACCCACAGCGCCACCCGCGTTCCAACAAAGATTAAAAATACATTAAAACATCAGTCATTAAAACTTCCCTAAACTGCCTTCAGATGTTTTCTAAATGTCAGATAGTTGTTTATCTCTTTGACATCTGATGGGAGGGTGTTCCACAGGGTGGGCACCACTACCGAGAAGGCCCTCTGCCTGGTTCCCTGTAACCTTACTTCTCTCGGGGAGGGAACCGCCAGAAGGCCCTCAGCACTGGATCTCAGTGTCTGGGCAGAAAGATGGGGGTAGAGACACTCCTTCAGGTATGCTGGGCTGATGCCGTTTTTAAAATCTCATTGCAACTTTCAGGTATCAGTTTCTGCCTTTATCTATCACTCGCTCCTTCTGATTGTGCCCCCAAAAGAGGCTGATTGACCCTTACAGCTGGCTGGCCCCAGATGAACTCTTTAGGTGCCCCATATTCATTTTCTCCTCTCACACCCAGAAGCCCGTTCCTTTTCTTCTTCCTTAATCCTTCTCCATCATACTTTGGCAAAATAAATGACACATACATGCTAACCAGAGTACACTATGCAAACATGCACCAGTGTAATGAATTATTCTCATTATTTGGCTTCTTCTTACTCAGAAGTTTGACATTTAGTGTAGACTAAATCAAACATACGTTCACAATCAGCCTTTGAGGCCTTCTCAGTTCTACAGCAGTTTTCTTGGGTAAGTCCATGTTTAAGCAATCACCTTGACTGGGATATATTGCTGTGAATGCTGAGTAGGTCTGACTCATAACCTGGCTCGCACATTAAGTGCTATTATTTCAGTCATGCCAGATTCATTGCCGGCATTTCTGTTTAATTCCAGAAAACAACAGCACATCCTTCATACACCAATTTTAAATATCTAAGGCCTTCCAAGGTGGTTTTGGGGATTGGGTTGGGGTCAGGGACATAGCATAAGAAAGGCCTTATAAAAACGTGGAACCTTTCCTGCTATAAATTCGCCTGTTGCAATGGAATGCCAGTCAGTCTTGCTAATATAACTGCTGTACTTTGTCAAGACTACAATAACCTTCCTGACATTTGCTGTTCAAATTCCTCATAACGTATGAGAGCATGAGCTGTGAGCCAGGAAGCCTCTGGTTCAAATATTACTTCATCTGAGAACATATTAAGAGGCCTCAGGCAAGCTGCCATTGCCTCCGTCCCAGTCCCTCCCCCTTCTGCTATGTGAGAATCAGCTTACATGACTGATACAACTGAAATGATAGAATTGCTTTGATTTTCTTTTCCATGCCCCTGCCTGCAGTGTGGAAGTAAAATGCAGATGGAACCTTTTCCCTGTTTCAGGTTTCTGAAAAAAAATTGGGAGGGATGGGGAGAGATGTGTTAGGAAATGATTTCCTCATTGTGGTCATTTTAAGAGCCCTGCTTTACATAAACAGGTTTGATGATTTAATAAAATCTGACTTGGGTTTTAACAGCTGTGCTATTCCCATAGTGATCACTTTTCATGTGGTGAGAATATTAAATTACTTTTTCTGCTGAAAAGGTTGCTTCAAGGGTACATGTATTTCCTTACAGTATAATAGTAACATTTATTTACATGTTCAGCTTGAATTTTTAGAATCAAAATATGCTTTGTTGCCTCATAGGATCAAGATTTCTGATGCCAATGACAAATATAACTATGGCAGTTCAGTTCTGTACGCTTTCCCCTCTCCATAATGCATTAAATTGTCATAATTTCAACACTGACATTCCCCATGTTTCTGGCTGAAAGTTTCTTGGTGCTTGAAACTACGAATAATTTCTTAAAACTTTTTTTTTTAATGATGCGATTTCTTTTAAAATCTCGCATCTATTTTTTCAGTATATACAGCTGATGAAAGCACCTGTATAGGCATCTTAAGAGATTCCATTTCATACGTATTCAGTTCCAGAAATTGCCATGTTTCTTTTGGTATTCATGTTGCAACTGTGTCAGAAAGAGAACTGAACAATCAAGGTCCAAGTTACACTTCTGTCAGATAGATTTTCAGCTCCATGAGGTAGCCAGTGAGGAATTTTGATGTCCGCTGTGAAGCCAGTACCTGAATTTGGGCCTGAATTTGTCTTCCATAATCACCACCCTTATTAGCAGTACAACTGTTATGACTGGAATGACAAACAGCTGCCTCTAAGATTAGTGATCATGTGCAGCCACTTGGGTGATTGTTGCAAAACAGCATAGTAAGTATACCCAAGCTTCATTTGTGCTAATGCTGAAGAGTGTTTCTGGACTGTTCATCAGGAATAACTGTAGCTTAATCTCAGCTGCTTAACCAACCATAAATACATCACCACCATAGAGTAACTAAAGCTAATTTAAGGTATCCTTTCCTCTCTTTTTTTAAAAGGTACATCCTGAATTCAGTACTAGTTTTTTTTAAAAAAGAAAATATGATTTAAAAAGAGCGGTTTAACACATGAGGCAGAAGAATCAACATGTATCTATACTGATGTCCTGTGAATCTTTTGAAAAGTCAGTAGGCAGAGATGCAACGCAAATGGAATCACTGCAGTGTGGTTTGGTTATTTAAAGTAGTTATTTAAAAAAACTACACCAAAGAGATACGGAGATTACAACTGACAAGCATAAAAGAAACTGTGATATCACATTTCTGAAAATGTGAATAGTAAAAAGTAGAGCACCATTTCACACTGCTTCAACATTTGTAGTGCTTTGAAATTTATCTGGCTCCTTATGAAATATCAGTGATGGTACAAGGGACTGTAGGGTTTATTTGAGGGAATTCTTAAGCTACGATTCTAAACATAGCTGTTTGCATGCAAGTTCAGTTGAAATTAGGGGTGCATACCTCCAAGTAAATGCATTCAGAACTGAGGTGTGATGTCTTCTATAGCATGCTTGATTTATTGTGCATAAAACATTGTGAATTACCAATTAATACTACGCTTATAAGTTGAAGGCTCTATAGTTCATTTTTTAGAGTAAAGGTAAAAGGACCCCTGACCGTTAGGTCCAGTCACGGACCACTCTGGGGCGCTCATCTCGCTTTATTGGCTGAGGGAGCCAGCATACATGTGTCATATATAAAAGGTCTATTTGCAGTGTAATCTTATGTATGGCATGATATGGCCTGGTCAGCGTCCGGGTCATGTGGCCAGCATGACTAAACCGCTTCTGGCGAACCAGAGCAGCGCACGGAAACACCATTTACCTTCCTGCCGGAGTGGTACCTATTTATCTACTTGCACTTTGACGTGCTTTCAAACTGCTAGGTTGGCAGGAGCAGGGGCAACGGGAGCTCACCCCGTCACGGAGATTTGAACCGCTGACCTTTTGATCAGCAAGCCCTAGGCTTGGTGGTTTAGACCACAGAGCCACCCACATCCCACACATTTATTTTATTTTTTATTTACTGCAAAGGTTGCTTGAAAATTTCCCACAGCTTAGGACATGGGGGCTGTTTTGGTAAATGGAACAGTATTGGTAATGTTCCCAGTTGCAGGGGACTTGGAAATATTGGCAGCCTGTATGTGAGGCACAATTTTTGTGGTGCTCAAGATGCATTTATCCAGCATTTAGTGGGACAAAAGAAGAGTTAATGCTTCTTTGTGCCTACATGAGTGAAGATGGAAGAAAAAGTGGCATGTACGTCAAAACGATTTTGCCTTCCAATTTAAGGCCATCCAAGTTTGTTGATAGGCAGAAAAAGGCTAGCCAAGTTTAAAATACTGGAAGGTCACTTTTCACCTTCCACAGACTAATACTGATGTTTTTCGTAGCTCTTATAACCAAAATAAAGATCTAGCAAATACATGAAGTTACTTCCTCCATGGATTTCAAATGTAACATAAGAACTGAATTACTCATACAAAGCCACTTAAGAGAACAAAGGCTTTGCAGCCTGAAAGAAAAGGAACTGTTATCCCATACTCTCATTCTAGTCAGTTGTGGGGAGGGGGAATTGCCTGTGCTTTTTTGAAAAGAAACACAGATGTATTTTAAAAGCCTTGGTTTAAAATG